TATTGCCAGTTTCGACTATTTTCTTTTCTTGATTTGAGAGCTATCTTGAAGGACTTGTTTCTCCATCAAATGGCAAATAACATTTACTCCACCACTAAAAGTTCAAAATGCCTGAAAGCTTTTTTGCCATTTCGGTATTCACTTGTGCTCTAAACGAAGGTTCGACTTGTGAAATTAGCTTCTGCTGGCGCTATTTTTGTACTAGTAGTGGTCGCTGTTGCGCTTACGTCAAGCCATTACTGTCTTGTGTACCTGAACAGCATGGATTCGAATTGCTACACTTTATCTATGGAAACATATAATGTTTTCCCTTCTAATATGTTTGTACCCTTTGATTCAACGAGACCGGCGCCTGAATACGACCGCTCGCGTCCGCGGCAGTCGGCGACTTTCTCGCGAACGTGCTCTCTGATCATCTTCTAGCCTTAATTAAGTCACGAAGCCCCGCCTTCCAGCCGCCAATCCAGTTGAATCGAGGGATAGTTGAGAGTAATCTAATCTAATCGAGTTTACTTTTAAGGGGACCTAATTTACAGGGTTTCTCTTATTTTTCATTTTTGAATTCCTGCCGTTACGAACCACAGCCGTCCTACGCTAATTAGTTTATTCATGGTATTCATGCTACCAATCCACAAATCAGTGGGAACTTTACATGACTTTTGCACTTTTGCAGAAAGTTTGACTCACATGAAGTTTGAGGCCAAACTTTAAAATTTTCAGAATTCAAAAACTTAAAAAATCCGAAAAATTGGTTGTCTGCACACTCATTAGCCACATACAAGTCATCTCTTTGAAGTGAGGGATGAATGGGCTATTTGTAGACTCTGAAAAAGATGTTTACTGCAAATGTTCGGGTTCACGTTAGTCTGAAATTCAGAACATCTCTTTCGCAGCATCTTCCCATCGTTTGATGGATGAGGACGGGAGCGCTCGAAAGCAGGAACAAACAATTATCTGTTAGGCTGATGAGAATTTTTTGCTTTACTTAAACAGCAAGTTGGACGTCCTGTGAAGTCTCACACGGAAATTTGCGGCGACGTTGCGCAAACTCTGCAACCCTAGTTTTTTTCTCCAGAAAAATTTTATGGAGTTTTTTTGATTTGCTTTAGTACCCTTATTCTAGATAGGAGAAGACTATGTAATGTCTATGGACGGGTTATCAAGTTTGTTAAGCACTACCTGTATCATCAAAAATCAAATTTTTTTATTGTATGTACATGTTACTTCTTCAAACCTTCATGATGCTTCCATTTAGGCCAGGTGTCATGATGTCCCTTCTTCCAAGGTTTGTCCCGTTTCTTTTGATCGTCATCGTTATACTTCGCCCAAGGATTCTTCCATGTCGTTGATGCCTTTTTCAATATAACGAGTGTCCTGAGGACCCGGCTTGTGCGCAGGCTTTTCGTAAGGTTCTGGAAGTTCGAAATATCCATGAACGAGCAGCGCTCCAACAAGGAAAATCATCTAGATAGGATATTTGTACACCAAATAACATCAGTGAGTTTTGAAAGCCTCAACTTACAATACAAAAAAGAAGAGACGATTTCATCGCTGTATGGCTTCACCTCATCAGTGATAATTTATATCGCTTTAAAATGGACTGAGTGATTAAATGAATATATTGTAGCATTGAGTGAACTGCTTCATCGAATCAGCATTTTTAGCTGGAAAGTCAAATGCTATATGCATGTAAACATCAAGTACATTCTCTTTACAAACGCCAGTGTTGTGAGCTTCATGCAGAACAATGGTTTTGCAATGCATTCATCTTATTGAATTCCTTTCAGATGCATTTGTGGTGCAGATAACTGAAAGGAGCTCAAAATTAAATGCATATCGCAAAACGCCCACCAATAGGACATATTGCATTGATTGTAAGCTGTGAACGGCTCAATTCACTTCGAATCTAGACGTCAGAGTGAAGTCAGCAACATAGTCTTCCTTCGACTATAGCAAAAAATAGCGGTAATGATAGTTGACTAAAAGTGTGCACACGATTCATAGCACGCAAAGACTAAGCGCCGTTGCGTCTGACCGAGATAGTTCGTGTCTGGGAGAGACGGCAGACGACAAGAGAAACGAAAGAGCGCGCATTGAAGAGACGCAAATATTTCCGCAGTCTATGCGTGCTATGAATCGCCTATAAACTCTACACCTTGTTGCAAAAGTAAAAATACCGAAATATCTTTCAAAGGTAGAATTACTATGTTGTCGCGGAAGTATAGCTCGTTTTTTGAGCGCTGAGAAATGTGCTCGCTGGAGCTTTTTCTTCTCTCCTTTGACTATGCGAGCCAAAATCTCCCGAATACTTCCAGATAATAACCAAATCTTCATCCGCAGTATTCTGATTTCTTGGTTGCGATCGATTGTTCATTGATTCTCTCCTTTGATGGCAGTGTCTCGGCAAAATTTTGTCTGCCAATTTCTCATGTTTTCGGAGCCTTTTCGCAATGAAAAATCCAGATCGGTTTTTCAGCGCATGAAAATGGCGATGAGCTTTTTCCGAAGCGTTCCAGGTCCACATTCAGTGGATACGTGTAAGTGGGCGGGACCCGGAACGAGGGAGGCGGGCACGAAAGACCGGCGTATTTTACTGATTGCGAACCTGAAAAGCCTGGAAAAGACTTTATTTTTGCCATTTGCATACGCTGAAATGCCTAGATATGGACACTCCATGGCGAGAAGGCTCCGAAAAGATGAAAAAGCGGAAAACGAAATTTTGACGAGACACTGCCTTAAAGTTAGCCGCAAGCAGCTTACAAATTTTTTGTCTGATTCTCTGCTTTTGCACACTACATTCATCAATTTAACTTACGACCTACCTGCACTTGCTGTCGAAAGAACTCATATGTTGAACTGACCCTAACACTTGATTGGACGGTCATCCGACTGTCTGAAGTCATATCAGTTTAACAGCCCAATGAAGATTTGCGTACCGTACAAGGTAATTGGCAGGATTGTTTTCGTTTTTCAATCATTTCAATTTTAACTCGGATATACTTGTGCATAGCAATCCAACGCCCAGATGAATTGCATTGCTTTTTTCTTTCTTTTCACCTTTGAATTGTGGACATTAAACATTATAATGTTCAAAGATATCCGAATATGGACCTGAATATATAGAAATGTTGAAAGTTTGGTAATTATATGAAGAGTCGCTCTAGGCCTATACTAGGTACATAGAAATCCAACTTTGGATTGCTATCCCTCAGAACCTCACGCTAATTATCTTACGCCCTTCTACTTCTGGAGCGATTTTCTCATTTCGGAATTCTGCTGGGGCCACCTAGTCCCACCATCATCGACTAAGGTGAATGATGCCTCTAATGTAGCTTCTCCAAACTTCGGCGTATCGTCTCGCAATGAACGAAAGCCAATAGCATTTCCAGTAATTGTATTAGGTTGGTGAAAAAATAATGTCCGATTTAAAACGTTTTACTTTCAAAAGTTATAACTTCGTTCAGTCCCATATTTTTGAATATAATCAGACCGTTAGAAGCAGCATGTCTTTCGTAACATAGCACATTTGCTCATAGTGATAGTACAAACGGGAAGAAAGCCATGCGCCAAAAAACCGAAAGGTTCTCTTGAAGACCTCGTTTCTTTTTTTCAAAACCTTACAACTTCTTTCAAGTTTTGTTCCTAAAACTAATAATCAGCTCATTTTGTAGCCGCAGGCCAGTAGTATATGTGTGTACAGAAAACACTTCAAGGAAGAAGTTCTGCGAGAAGAAAAAATATAAAATTCCAAGATCGTCCACTTTTTGAGCCTGTTTGTGGAATTATTTGGAAGATTTTGTGCACTGTATAGCTGAGTTTTTCGGCAAAAATTGTAGGCAAGATGTCCTAATCTCCTTACAGAAATGAGCGGAGCTCTGGCGATTGCTTCAATCTTGGGAAATTTTTGACCCATAGGATGCCAGCAGATAGTATTTATCTTGGGGCGTCAATTTTATTTATCTTGGGGCATCAATTTCTCAACCCAGATATTTTCGAAGATCTACTTCAACTTGGGTAAACAATCAATGAGTAAACAATATTCATCCCCTAAAGACGCTATGTTTTGTAAAGAATTCGACTGTGCCTGAACTGTGGCTAAGATAATGGAAGCAATAAAATTTCGATTCTGAGTGCGGGTGCGCAAAAAACTGGTAAACTTCTCACAGATGAAGATAAAAGCCTAATTGTATCACTGTTAGAACATACATGAAGAAAGCTTTCTAAAGATGTGCAGAAGCTATAACAAAAAAGGAATTGTGATGGGAAAGATTTGTTCGGAAAATAGGCCCAGTAAACGGACATTATTTTTGCACCAACGTAATATCAATTTTTCAGTCGCTTAAAAAGAAGCTGAACGTCTCATTTTTGGAGATGATTAAAAATTCTGAGTGCTGGGCACCATACTTCTCCTTTTTTCTGCTACTTTCTTTTCTTTTAGAAAGCTAATATTAGCTTCGTCTCAGCACAAGACAGTTCTAGAAGCGTACTTAATAACTCACACTCAAAGTTTGTATGATTATGACACTTTACGATGAGGGATAAGGATTATTTCCTAATATTGCAAACTAATGTCTTAAAATTTATCGCTCACAATTCTTCTCTCTTTTCTTTACTGAACAAAACAATTTCTTACAGGGCAATCTAACAGTTTTTGGAACTCACAACTTATTGAGAATGTTCATCAGGATGTGCTCCTAGCTCTGTTCATTCCAACTCAAAAGACCTCCATAGTCCAATAATACGCAGTTTCTTCCTGTTTCTATGTCCTCATACATTTATCAGCTGATGTGAATGAGCTACGAAGACAGTGACGTGAATTTCTTTGAACAAAGTGGCAGCTGATGTTTATAAGAAAAAACATGATTGCAAACAGATAATCAAATAAATAACAATAATTAACAGATAATCAAATAAATTACATGGTGTAGTGGCAGCTGGAAACTACAGCAGAAATAATAAACTTTAGCTCTTCATCGAGATGCACGAGACACCTCGACTCATCATGTTTGAGATGCCTTCTTCTCAGTCCTATCATATATGTCGTTTTTTCTATTCTTAGCCTGATCTCCCTTTTTCTTCTTTGATCCCGAGTCTTCCTCTTTCTTCAACACATCATTCCAATCCTTCTCGTCAGCCTTCTTCTTCTTGTCCTTTTTATGACGTTTTTTATCGCCGCTTTCCTGCTTCGGCTTGTGCCCAGTGCTATTACTTCCCGTCTCATAGGGGGGACTACGAGTCGTAGTCACTATGCTCCCAGTCCATCTGCGGTATACAGGTTGGGGAACTGCGAAGAATAGTCCATGGACAGCGAGTGCTTTAAAAAGGAAGATCAACTGAATGGAATACGTTAACTACAAGATATCAGCCATATGTTACTTACGATAAATGCTAGCAAAGACGACTTCATTACGGATTTATTTTAATAGCATCCAATGCTTTTATACGGATTGACAGAGGATGAAAAAATCTGTTGAATACATTCGTAGTACTAATGCACTACAAAACCGAAATAATTAGAGCTGAGATTGTGAAAGGACACTCTTTTTACAATCACTGAGGTACACATTCAGCAAAGAAATGTTGCACTAAGTTTTAGCATCGCATTTTCCATGTTTTCGGTTTTGGCTATCACTGCATTGTGGGTACCCATGATTCAAAGAGATTGGCTGCTGAAAGGTGACCGCTCACGTCCGCTACGCGGTCTGGTCTCCCTCGCGACCGTGCTCTCTGATCATCTTCTAGCCTTAACTAGGTCATAAAGCCCCGCCTCCGCCAATCCAGTTGAATCAAAAGGTAACTAAAGTTGAGCTTTAAGAGTTTTAGACAGCAATGCAGAAACATTGTTTTCATTGCAATAGACTGGCGAGAAACTCCTCTAAAAATGCTAGAATATTCTATAAAAATTAGTGCCTGTAAGACAACAAGAATGTGTTTTTGTAATCTGTAGTTGACTGCACGGAATCGCCCGAACTGAGCGCCCGCGCGCGCATCTCTTCCGTGCTAACATTGGCATTCGCGCGCATGAGTCATCATAGCGCCTGTACTCTGTAGTCGCGTTGCAGGCACGGTCGCGTGCGTTCAGCCTACAGCAACCCGGGCAATTTCGTGCAGGCGACTTTACATGTAAAATCTGCCATTTTGATGCTGTGAGTAACTATTTCTCAAAGATACCTGTTGCAACTTGTCTACAAAAGCAAATGCGTGGATTGCTGTACTTTATCCGCAGAAACACGTTTTCATTTTAAGGCTGATTGCACTTTCATTTAATTACTTTCAAACAAAATACGGCGCATTCATTTGTAAACACTGTACTCTAACAACAAATCATTGTTTCTCTCACACTGATGGGACAATGAAGCGATTCAGCGTGGATGAGTAATTACCTTTGCAGGCTAAATCAAGCGTAGTTCTTCGGAGTCCACCTCATTGATTTTTTTTTGGTTTTTGCGGTCTCTTCTGCATTTCAACTCATTATTTAATCGCAGAGGGTTATGCTATGGTGTTTCGGATTCTTTTGAATCTGGACACCACTTCATGATTTCTTTGATTGTAAATGACGAATTTTCATTTCACCAACGGTGATTTCCAATCATTTTGCTTTTGATGCCGCTCATCTGCTAGACCAGTAGAGTTTATTTTTGAAACAAATGATATTTAATCGAGATCTATTCGCCTTTCGTCTTGGCACTCATAAATTCGTCCCATAATGGTATAACAAACTCGCCAGCCTAAAAAATGTAACGCTAAGCACAGAAGAAACGAAAGACCACGTTAACCTGATATATAGTGGCATTCTCTTCAATAAGATGAACGATCGTGACTCCATCACTTTTGAGGCCAACCCTGCAGAAGTCACTGACATCCCGTGAATCGACGTCTTCGTTCAAAGCTGTTTCCTGAAAAAGGCAAAAGTATAGACAAAAAGACAATCTGGATAAATCGGTGTGCTTGCAGTTTCTAGTCCGTATTGGAGTTCTGCAGAAAAAAATCATTCTTACAGTTGCAGCGGTGGAATTTGTCCAAAACTGCGGGATTGTCGGGATTCGCGGGATTGTCGGGATTCGCGGGATTGTCGGGATTCGCGGGATTGTCGGGATTCGCGGGATTTGCGGGATAAGCGGGATTTAGCTATAACTTCTTTTAAAATAGCTTTATTTGTAATCTGAGTGAATATTTGGCTTCAGCTTGATGAGACGAATCTTTTGATGTACGGTATGTCCGTAGTTCATAGTGACGGGGTAGACATACAATGATACCTTGTTGTTTTCTACGTTAAGGCTTTTGTGAACATTTATCACAGTGTAAGTCGCGTATAGGAGGTTCTGGTACGAAGCTCTCGTTATCGAAAACTATCGCGAAAAATTGGGCAGTTTTTATCTACCCTTATCGCTGATATAAGCATTTTATCATTTATCACTTATAATAACACATTTTTGGATCATTTTTTGCATATGGTAAGGAAAGTACTGTAGGAAAAGCTGTGTGAATTTCTATCGCTCTTTCTCTCATTATAAGTGATCTACAGGCTTTTCTAGTTCTATTGCTCGGTGCAATTGGTAGATCCCTCGCTGCAGCAATCGATCGATTTTTCATCGGCACATGCCATTGCCGCCAATTCTTACCTAGAATGGCATTTTTGCTTCAACTCGCTTCACGCCGAAGCCTGGCCTGAAATTCTGTACCTATATGGAAGATGAACGTGGAAATCGACCGCATGAATTTAAGCCATTCTTATCTGTCTTTATCATTGATATCATCATTTTATCATTTATCACTGACGACACAAAATTGGATCATTTTTGATACACAATAAGAAATGTACCTTAGAAAACGCTGTGTGAGTTTTTATCGCTCCATCTCTTGTAGTACAAAACCACTCACAGAACATGCAAAATTTCCGGGAATTCCGCGAAATTCATGTGAATCACGCAAATTACGCAGGGCCATAACTTTTTTCCGAATGAGTATATTCAAAATCCGAAAACAACGTTGTATTCAGCTCGTCAAGGCAAATCTTTTGATACACGATTGTTTCTAATACCTTGTTTTCAATAATCTTGAATTTGCATGCCGACGCCTCTTCGCATTGGTGTAACGCAACAAGCATTACACATAGGAGACTGCCATGGGCACCGTTCGATAGTAATCTTTCACTAGATTATCGTGCGCTAAACATCAGCCGAAGACTCCTTTTCAAAAGAGATAGAAGAGCTGATAAACTCTGAAAAAAAACAAGCTGTTCCAAGTTTTACTAGCCGTAACTTTCTTTAGAATGAACATTTTCGAAATCAGAAAGCAGATTTGTGTTCATCTTGTCAAGTCGAATCTTACTGCATACAGCATGTTCTTGAAGTTCCGTTTTCAATTTTTTCAAAATTTTCTGCGCGCGTATATTCACAAGGTCGCAACGCAGTGCACATCAAACATAAAAGACTCTATTAAGCACTGTTGGATTGTGCTGCTTCCGCAGATTATCGAGCGCTAAGAAGCAACCGGAGAATCTCTTTGAGAAAAGATAGAAGAGCTGGTGAATTCTGGAAAATCGTGTTGTCTCAAATTTTGCCCACAGTGACCCTAAAATGAGAAGCTCTACTGCTAAGCAGATGTGATTTTCGTAATCAGCAGGTCAGATAACCTCTATGAGCAAATTTTCAAAGAAATTTGGGTGATTCGATTTTTTCTCGTTCTACGCCCTGAAGCTCGCCGATGGGTTTTGGTCAAAATGTCGATGACTTTGGATTGTAAAGAAACTTCGCCCAAAGAGGTTTTCGAACACGCTGTTTACGAAAATAGTGGTCTTTGAAGAAGACAGGGTCTTTTCGTAGAGATATTGTGAGGTGACTGTAACTGAGTCACGAAAGTTCGTAAATTTGCCTGCACTTTTCGCGAATTTGTCAGAAAACTAGCCTGCTTGCTTTTCCAAGTCAGAGTCACTGGGAACTGTGCTATCAAAAGGTGCATGCTCAGGCTCCAGTCTATAAAGTTCGCCGAGTTACGAGCCTACGAAAAGACGTCCTCATAATTTTCGCTCAAAATGTAAAAATCGCGTATTTCGTCGAAATTGCGCCCTCAAGCTACGAAGGTACTTGTGTCGAGACGCAGACTGATTAGATTAGAGTCCGACAGTCCCCTCGCCGACTGGGCGGTGCCACCAACTTCAGATGAGCTGGCACTCCCCGGGTGCTCGGTGGTCCCCTCCCCAATTATGTTCCCTCATATTTATATTTATGTTATAACGATAAAATAATCTAATCAGAACTGTTATGTTATTACAAAGGAAAGAAACTAAGGGTAGAGGGATCAAGTGAAGAGGATAGCTAACTCTTCAGACTTGACACCTGGATATTCAAATAAGCAGCTGAAGAACGCGCGGCCACCATTCAACTCAATGGGATCCCTTAGGCGAAGTGAGCATATGCAATCAGAATGTCATACAACCACTGAGGGCGGAATTTCGACGGAATACGCGATTTTTACATTTTGAGCGAAAATTATGAAGACGTCTTTTCGTAGGCTCGTAACTCGGCGAACTTTATAGACTGGAGCCTGAGCATGCACCTTTTGTTAGCACAGTTCCCAGTGATTTTGACTTGGAAAAGCAAGCAGGCTAGTTTTCTGAAAAATTCGCGAAAAGTGCAGGCAAATTTACGAACTTTCGTGACTCAGTTACAGTCACCTCACAATATCTCTACGAAAAGACCCTGTCTTCTTCAAAGACCACTATTTTCGTAAACAGCGTGTTCGAAAACCTCTTTGGGCGAAGTTTCTTTACAATCCAAAGTCATCGACATTTTGACCAAAACCCATCGGCGAGCTTCAGGGCGTAGAACGAGAAAAAATCGAATCACCCAAATTTCTTTGAAAATTTGCTCATAGAGGTTATCTGACCTGCTGATTACGAAAATCACATCTGCTTAGCAGTAGAGCTTCTCATTTTAGGGTCACTGTGGGCAAAATTTGAGACAACACGATTTTCCAGAATTCACCAGCTCTTCTATCTTTTCTCAAAGAGATTCTCCGGTTGCTTCTTAGCGCTCGATAATCTGCGGAAGCAGCACAATCCAACAGTGCTTAATAGAGTCTTTTATGTTTGATGTGCACTGCGTTGCGACCTTGTGAATATACGCGCGCAGAAAATTTTGAAAAATTGAAAACGGAACTTCAAGAACATGCTGTATGCAGTAAGATTCGACTTGACAAGATGAACACAAATCTGCTTTCTGATTTCGAAAATGTTCATTCTAAAGAAAGTTACGGCTAGTAAAACTTGGAACAGCTTGTTTTTTCCAGAGTTTATCAGCTCTTCTATCTCTTTTGAAAAGGAGTCTTCGGCTGATGTTTAGCGCACGATAATCTAGTGAAAGATTACTATCGAACGGTGCCCATGGCAGTCTCCTATGTTGCTTGTTGCGTTACACCCATGCGAAGAGGCGTCGGCATGCAAATTCAAGATTATTGAAAACAAGGTATTAGAAACAATCGTGTATCAAAAGATTTGTCTTGACGAGCTGAAAATACAACGTTGTTTTCGGATTTTGAATATACTCATTCGGAAAAAAGTTATGACCCTGCGTAATTTGCGTGATTCACATGAATTTCGCGGAATTCCCGGAAATTTTGCATGTTCTGTGAGTGGTTTTGTACTACAAGAGATGGAGCGATAAAAACTCACACAGCGTTTTCTAAAGTACATTTCTTATTGTGTATCAAAAATGATCCAATTTTGTGTCGTCAGTGATAAATGATAAAATGATGATATCAATGATAAAGACAGATAAGAATGGCTTAAATTCATGCGGTCGATTTCCACGTTCATCTTCCATATAGGTACAGAATTTCAGGCCAGGCTTCGGCGTGAAGCGAGTTGAAGCAAAAATGCCATTCTAGGTAAGAATTGGCGGCAACGGCATGTGCCGATGAAAAATCGATCGATTGCTGCAGCGAGGGATCTACCAATTGCACCGAGCAATAGAACTAGAAAAGCCTGTAGATCACTTATAATGAGAGAAAGAGCGATAGAAATTCACACAGCTTTTCCTACAGTACTTTCCTTACCATATGCAAAAAATGATCCAAAAATGTGTTATTATAAGTGATAAATGATAAAATGCTTATATCAGCGATAAGGGTAGATAAAAACTGCCCAATTTTTCGCGATAGTTTTCGATAACGAGAGCTTCGTACCAGAACCTCCTATACGCGACTTACACTGTGATAAATGTTCACAAAAGCCTTAACGTAGAAAACAACAAGGTATCATTGTATGTCTACCCCGTCACTATGAACTACGGACATACCGTACATCAAAAGATTCGTCTCATCAAGCTGAAGCCAAATATTCACTCAGATTACAAATAAAGCTATTTTAAAAGAAGTTATAGCTAAATCCCGCTTATCCCGCAAGTCCCGCGAATCCCGCAAATCCGGCGAAGTCGCGAATCCCGCGAATCCCGACAATCCCGCGAATCCCGACAATCCCGCAGTTTTGGACAAATTCCACCGCTGCAACTGTAATTTGCATGATGTTAATGAAAAGAGCCAGGAGTTTTTGCGAATGGTGGTAGATTGGTTTCGATGGTATAAATTGTGTATAAGATAAATAAATAAAGCTTTCTTTAGTTTAGAACTCACCAACACAGTTGTCACAAATGCTCGTTGCGAATCAAATGATAACCGAATCACCCATCGAAAGATATTAAGGAAAGACACGAACACAAGCATCCAGAACCACCACCATAGGAATACGAAGATCTTTTCATTGAACATGTTTATCTAAAAGTCTCAGTTTGCTTTCCTGCAAAGTATTGGTTTTGTTTCCAACCATCAATACACACTGAAGAGACCAGCGATGGACAGCTCCACCCAGTTCTCGAACTTGAAGATCACAGAAAGTTACCTGAACAAAAATTCAAATATTCTTGAAAATGAACAACTGATATTTAGTACCAAAAAGCGAGGGCATCGTGATTGTTACTAGATTCCCTTACCCTAGGAAAGTTCCCACTGGACTCCCACTGCCTCCCATTCAAAGCGTCGACGACAACTCGCAAGCCGTGCATTTGTCCAGCTCCCATGAACCAGCCAATGAAGAAAATCTCTCCAATAAGCACGATTATGGACAGTATCTTTGAGAACAGCAAAGCAGAGGTAAGTTTGTAGCCCCAGGACCCTAGAAATTAGTCGTGAACAGGATTGGATATACCCAAAAAATTTGATGTGTTTGACCTCTCCGGACAGGCTTTAAAAGTGTACTGATATCCAGCGGATCTCTTATTTTCTTGGCTTCATTGCGAAGGGCTACAGTAATCGTTGGCAGGTCAATTTCTAAAAAAGAAAAAAATTTGTTGACCAACAAATCGGTCATTTTGGGAGCGAAACCTCACTTGTGAAGTGCTGCAGCTGAATCCACACAAATCGAGGTGCATAGAGAAATAAAGCCAACAAAAGCAAAACGAAAGGGACCCACTGAAAATTTGAAAACAAAAATGCTTAAATCTTCAGAAATGAATGTGATTCTTGAAATTTGTCGAGCCAGCAGAAGAATCAATAAAATTTTTGAGTTTTTCCGGAAAATATTTCATTGAAAGGAAAGTATGAAGGTATTAAAGACGAAATTGTTAAAAATATTATTTGTTTTTAACTTCATAATTAGTTTTCCAGCGAAGTCTGTAACAAATAACGACTGCACATACCTGATAATACCGTATCTCCCTATTTTCGCGCTGATCCACCTTGGGCAGATGTGTATCGTTCATATTTACAAAATATGTATTTTCTATCAAGCATATATGCTCAGCGTATTGTTCCCATCCTCCCTGCAATCTCAGACTTTTATCTCAAATTTCTTGGCACTAGAGACGTAATCACGTACCGACCATTGTCTCGGGACCCAACACTGGATTGCTTGGCCAACATATTCTTTGCAAAAGACGAGAAATGCTGTGCCACAGAGGATCCAAGGTGTGTAGAGGTACTTCATTCTACAATTTTCCAGAATATTTATTTTGGAAAAAATGTTACGAACCCACCTATCCGAGGTGTCCACATCGTAGGTGGGGTCGAGGTGACCCACCATACCTCGAGCACGGTCGAAGAATGACATACTGTAGTCATTGTTAAATTCCTTTCTAGTAAGAAGGGGATTTCAATAATGAAAAAATAGGGGAAATCCTATTATTCAACAAAACAAAATTTGTTGAAAAAATTTATTTCTGAGAAAAACAATAATTTTTGGAGGTGTTGGCAGAGGTTGTTTAATAGGTTGGGCTGGCAGTAGGGGCATCTGAAACAAAATTCTTGTGTTAAGGAAATTCTCATTAATTTTTTTGTAGTCTCAAACTTATAGATCACTCTCTTCAACTTGTTATATTCAACCCAACCAATCAAGCCGTTTGTTTATTTTGCAAAATTGTACAGCGAGTAATAATTTTTTGAAACCATGCTTTTGAGAGTTCACATTTTTGGGTCCTACACGGATAAAAATTTTGCATGAAGGCTAGATACCGGGTCCTAACTTCCAGCTGGCTAAATGTATGTAAATGACACATTAATTGATATTGTTGAACTGCACTCTTTCTCGCACGAACTTGGATAGTGCTCACGGAAGATCTCCTCATTTTCGAGATTTTCTACTTCTTCCTCTTCGGCAACGGTTGAGATCGTTTTGTCATCTAAAATTTTTTCCTGATCATCATTCGGAACTCTTACAGTTTTGTAGGTATTTGCATGACTTCCGCAACCTCTCATTTATTGCTCAAAATTTTGCAGTTCTTTGGAGATCCAGCCAGAAAGAGAAAATTTGTTTATTGAAGAAACGACAATTTTTTCTTTTTCTCTTTTCTTTTTCGCCATTGACCTATATAAAAAATTGGTGCTTTTACTGAGCGTTTACAAAAACTTTTTGGGGCCCAATTTTCGCAAAACGTCAACGCTTTTAGAGGCAAACCTTCCACATGCTCTCTTATCGGAGACCCTCATGCGCTATCGCATTTCAAATCATTTTGATCATTTTTGAAATCATAAAATATTCTTACCTGATGAGAGCAGTAGTTTTGGGATATCTTCCCTTGGGCTGGGTGGTGCATTCTTACCTAAACTCAGACAATTCCATGAAAATGTATCTAATTCTATTGAATCCACGTTTTTGCTACACTGCTTCCAGCTTTTATAGGACGCAAACTTATTGGTGAAAAAAGGCAAAAGGAAATTTTCACCGATTGTAAAAAAAACAAATTTAACAAAAACCATAAGGAATCCTTCCTCCATTATGATGAAAAAAAAATCCAAGAAATACCATATTACCTCCATCTGGGAATTTGTAGGTCCAGAGCTGGTGGACGAGTTCTCCGGATTGCAGACGACCACCATTAGAGTCTAATAGGAGCAAAACAAGTACGCCGTCATCCTTTACGACTTCATGATAAAACTCGTCCCTGTCGGCTTCGCTGGTATAGAGACCGCTGTCAGTCTGGTAAAACATCATATTAATAAATATTCAGGAAAAGAAGTTGCAGAAAAGATTACCAAAACATTGTAGAGAAACGTTTTGCGGGCTGATCTACTGTAGCGTTGGCGAATCCAACCGATGAGGTTGAGGATAGTGCAAATCAAGAGGAAGGCATACCAGAACCATAAGAATATGAAGATTTTTTCATTAAACATGTTGACCTGAAAAAAATAATTATTTTCAAAAGTATGTTCAATGATATTCAAGTTTTGCGGCACTAGTAATGCGAAAGCTAATGCCACTGCCGCGGCCTTCTGTCTGTCTGCGTATCTCACGCTCACATTGTCTCTTCGCGACTCAAAAGCGTCGCAATCGCGTCGCGAACGCATACGCAACTTGCACATTGTCCGCGTTTATGAGTCAACTATGCACACTTACCATCAACACACATTGAACGGTCCAATTGTTTATATTTCCCATCTCCCTAACTGTTAGATCGCAAAATGCTACCTGAACACACTGCCATAAACAGAAGAAGCTATAGAACTGTAATCTTTGGCAAAGTTCCAAGTTCAGTAAAACGCGAATTTACCCTTGGAAAATGCCCGCTCTGCTGCCACTGCCTCCCATGAAGCATATCATTCAGAATGCCAGCGCCCCAAAATGTGTATTCCGTGCCAAGAAAATGATTGAGAAAGAAGAATTGCAGCAGTAAATTGGCAAATATCAATATCTAAAGAAGTTTTTTCTCTTTGTATTTCGAGAATTTCGCAGATTATTGTTAAGTAAGAATGTTACCTTCACCGCAATGTATAGATTGAAGAGACTTGATCCATAATGGAGAACTTTAGAGGTAGGAGCTTTTCGTAGAGTTGTGGCTACACAACTGAAATTTTCAATTGGAAATGAATGAAGGGGAATGGAAGGAATATGAGATTCAGAATTTGAAAGGGACTGTTCAAGCTGAAGAGAAAAAAGATATAGTGTGTAAAATGAAGAGAGAAAAGGCAGAAGCTTACTTCATTTTCAGAAAAAAGTCAGGTTACTATTTCAAAAATAAGTAATCATAATGTCTCATTCGTAGACCGAAAAACATTAAGGTCCTTGGCTAATTGTAAATTATTGTTTCAATCACAAATCTGCACCGCAGTAGAACAAATCAGAGCTCTAGAATAGCATCACAGCTCTTATGGGTTCGCTTTGTTACTGTATGGATACGGTAAGCCCTTCCAGAGCTGATTACTTACTTAATGAGTTTATCCTCTGCTCCTGTCTTTGCTGATTTTCTGGCGGCTGTCATGAGATCTGCCAAGGCGAGACCTATAAATACATTTTTGAATTTCTAAAGTATCCCCTAGTTAGGAGAATTTGCGTTATTAACCACTTACCGCTGTAAGGCGAGAAGATTTTCCAGACTGCACGTGGAACGTAGAAACAAAACGCCATGAGGGACAGTATGAATGGGACCCACTAAAGAGTATTTTTAGCTGTTATTTGGTAGAAGAATCTGTGGAGTTACTTGATAGTATATCATTTCTCTTCCTTCTCTTGTATGCGCAGCTGGTAGATTACTCTGGTTCATTGGCACAAAATATGTATTCTCAACGAAGCAGTATGATTCTGCAAACACTTCCCAGGTACCCTATAGAGACAAATTTTGACTAAAAAGAAAAAGTTACAAACAACCATAGGAAACTTACCGTCCACTGGTTAGGCACCCAACATTGCATCGGTTCACCAACATAGTTTTTGGCAAAGATGGTCAGAGCAAAGCCAAGAAGTAAGTAAATTGTTGTGACCTAAACACTCGATTGGTTGCGAAAGTCATGAATTTTCATTTGCAGTATGAGGAATTAATTTTGCTTGGATTTTGTGTGCAGTTCTTGGTTCGGATAGCATATGTTTGCCGCTATATTTGCTACCATGCAATTTATGTCAGAAGAACTTGCAAAGATTTAGTACCCTTTGATTCAATTAGCTTGGGGCGAGAAGGCGGAGCTTCGTGACCTAATTAAGGCCAGATAATGTTTAGAGAGCACGCGCGCGAGAGAGACGCAGGCTGCGTCGCATGCGCCACCAGCGACCTTAATTAGGTCACAGAGCCCCGCCTTCCAGCCGCCAAGCCAGTTGAATCAAAGGCTATATTTACCCAAACAAACAAATAGTGTAACAAGATGTATGGTCTGTAGGTCTTAAACGGTATTGCTTAACATAGTAGGCCTCAGCCACAATTTAGGCAGAAAGCAAAAGTTATCTAATAATACGTAGATTATATTTTTTGACGCTCATTTTTCAAAATATAAAGAAAGCAAAAAAAAAACTACTCTATTTTTTTATCCAGCTTTTTATAAATAAGGCTCTTACCTTAATCGCCCCAAAAATGATTTTTTTCCGTTTGTTCCACGGGGTTCAGCACTTTCGTCTCCTTTTGCAAATTCACCCCAGAGTTAACGCAAGTATTTTATTCTATTATATTTTATCGCATGGTGGTGATTGTAAACTACATAAAAAAACCAAAGAACCAAAAACCATAACCAAACTACTACTTAAACTAGGTTTGTTTACCCAAGTTTGAGATGTGTTCATACATGAGGATTGAGGGCGAAAAAAATTAGACGAAGGTTAAGACTATATCCCTTACTATTTTCTTCCTAACCATACGATCTTCCCTTACTACTGATGATTTCCGGAGAAGATCGTAGTCTTATCCTTTTTCGTCTAGTGGAAGGAATGAAACGGAATTGGATATGTCTTGTTATTTCCTCATTTTGTTTTTTTCTTATTATCTTACCTACATTGCTGTACAGTCTGCATATCAGTTTAATTATGTGTGAACCCCATGGTTTTCGGCATTTTTATCAACATAATTTTGCAAAACCAGACTGCAGGGAAGATGTAGGTTCAAGATTACGTATTTTTACTGGTAACTGATTTCATAATAGAAGAATCCAAATAATTTTTGGAAGGCTTTGAAGGTATCACCCACATAATTCAATCTGTCTATGGAATCATCGTCATGAGTGGATTTCACCTGCTTCAAATAAGTGTTGAGATTCGACAGCATAATGGTGCTCTACCCTGAATGAGCTTTTTGAACCGATATGAAAAAAAAATTTTCAAGAAAAGTAGAGTGATCTGTAGATGAAATATGATATCTACACAACAAAAATCTATTCTCAAAAATGATAAAATACTATAATTGGAAGAAGAAGAGAAGGCAACGAGTCACACTGTATTGGGACACACATTATCAGCAGTTCCGACTATCAATACGAGTACAAACCCGGGCTGGAAGTGTAGCGCCATGATAAGCAATGACCGCTTTCTGCTAGCTTACTTACTATTTGTTGTTACCATTTTCATACACTTTAAATGTGCTTATTTTCACTCCATGTATTGTAAATGATATTTTCTGTACCACCCACTGAATTCTCAAAATTTAGTATTTATAGAACTGATGAGCAATGCGATAGTTGCGAGGTGCTTATCGCGAGATTTTCACGTTTTGCTAGTTTGCATTTCTATTCAAAACGCTGATAAATGATCACAAATTCTGCAAAAGAGTGGTTAATTCTCAAATGGTTTTGTACGTACGTGAAATATATACATAATAATTAATTGCAATTCAATTCATCCAGCTCTTCCGTTGATTCTTCCTACCTTTCAGCGTAGTTTCTTCAAGCTTGATGCTGTTCTTTGAAAAATTGTCATACGCGAATGAAACAGGTCATTTTATAGCTCAAAATCTTCAACTAATCTCACATTTTCTGCACTTGTACCTAAAAGACTGCGCAAAAAAGCCCATCTTTACGTGCCAGAAACTCCTATATAGTTGCTTTTATGCTTATTTTGAAATGTATAAACCATTGTACTCTGCATATTACTTGAGAACCCGGAGGTAACATCTACTTTCTTGCTTTCAAAGTTTGGGTGCCAAACGTTCATGCCAAGACAGTTTCTACTGAATGAACAGTTAACTTAGAATATCTAGATATCGAGAGTATGTGTTGATATTGATAATGTAATGTACATTGTGTAGTACTCGTGAAGAACATAGCAATGTAATCCAATGTATTTCGGAAAGTTTAGCATCAACTTTTGCTTCGGCATACTGTAGAAATTACGATAAGCGAGTGATTTGTTTGAATGTTATTAATGGGTTTTCAGCGTAATACTAATATTGTGAGATTTCTACATATGTAAAGCGGCTGGCTTACCCAGAAACTGTAAGCGAAAAACTGTTAGAGTGAAATTCTGGAGGCAAATACAATTTTTGCGGTCTTATGAACACTCAAAAAACACGTTATAAAATACAATCACAAGTTTGTATATTTCTTTTGCTTTTTGAACTCTGTCTTCTCTAGCTCTTTCTCTAATTACATCTGTTTGATGTTGCTACCCGTTCCTAAGCTGATAGTGCTTTCCATGTTTGACAAAGACGAGCAATGATAGTAGGCCATGTGTGTACACTCTTCGGTCATTATCTCGCTAATAGGCTTTCCGTTCACAAAGCAAATCGCAATACGTGGAAAAGTGTTCGTCCGCGTTGTGCTAAGAGTACAGGGATTAGAATATTTGAATTTTCCAGATGGATACGCTATACGGGGTGGTAACGAACATCTATACGAGGCGGTTCGAGGAGGATCTCTTGGATAGGGTCAACTTTCAATGGACAACTTATTTATTTGCATTTGGAAGCATTATTATTACTTCAAAGGTAAAAATCCTTTACGGCATGATAGATCCGGGTACCTGGGTTTCTTAGGAGGCAAGAGTAGTAATATAAACTCAATTCTGTAATCCGCCCAGTACCGTAACATTTTCAACCAGCAGAATCAGCGTCTCCAGATACGGTACTGGACAGAATACCCTGATATGATACTGAACAAAAAAGTTACATATTTGGCGAGGATGTGTTTTATGAGAAAATTTGTCCAGTACCGGACCTGGAAACGCTGATTGGCCCTATGGATGAAAGGGTTACGGTGCTGGGCGAGGACCAGTAGCTGCCCAGTCAAGTCCTAATAAGAAGTCCCAGCAACCCACATTTTTCTGAATACTGCCTTCAATGTTTTGAAAGCCATTGATTTGGTGGCTATGCATGTTACAGATCTACATAGGAAGTCCTATTGTCTGTTGGACCCCTGCCGAGTTTAGAGGAGGTAAAATCAAGAAATCAAATATAAAAATAATTCTTTTTGAAAAAATTTAGGCTGGATCGAGTATACTAGAGACTATTGCCTTATTGAAAATACGTATTACGTACCATTGAATGATCCAGAACTTCCACATGTCCCATATAGAGAACAAAAGGAGCTACCGTACTACCAGGTAAATCCCCTTCACCCTGGTTACTGTATGCAAATCGATATATTGATTGGATAATTTTAGTGGGTACAATTTGTGCTTGTATTGCTTGCATTTTGCTTCTATCTTCCTCATATTTACTGGAGATCGGTAAATTGGTGGTCAGGTAAGCACGATCATAAAAATAGATAATGAATTTGGGAATTTTTCGTAATAGAACTGAAAGTTCTGTTTATTCCTTACTAGCTGGCTTACCCGGCTCCGCCGTATGTTCCGAATAGAAAATTCCATTTCTTAACCGATCCGAACCAAACTTGGCACACATACACTTCGGGCCCCGGCGGGTGTCACAGTCCACTTTTCGTTATCGATTGATGTCGATTTTATCGATGTTTTGCAAAATTTGAGCTAGGGGGCTGGGATTTGGCACAGGGGGGTAATCGAGCATGCTGATTACGAATACAGTAATAGTTTTCGAAACACAAATATTTTAATTCCATTTTTCATCCAGTTTGAGAAATAGCACGACATAAATAGAACGGTTGAGCAACTCAGGGGAATTAGCCAGTACCAGATGAAATCGTTAGAGCAGATGATATTTCTGAGTTTCCAAGTCTCGTATCGGTCCCAAGAATAGCTGCTTGAAGCAGCTAATTTTGGATCTAATTTTCATGAACGTTTCAAGCAAGTTTGGCCCATAAAGCATTAGGTTGCAAGCCTTCACATTATGGGGAATGCAGAAAAGTCCAGTCGTTGGTCATTTCTAATAAAAAGACGAAGAAGGTTTTTCTTCCCCAAGAATGTACTAATTCCGTTGAACTTTGATACGCTCAGGGGATCGACTGATAAACCATTTAAATGTTAGCCTTTTCCAGCTACTTCTGAGCTGAACTTTCCTCCCTAAACAATTACTCACGGGAATTTTATTTGTTTACCCCTATCAATGAAGCAAAGCCAGAATAAGCTCTTGGTTTTCTCTTATATCCTAGTTTGAAATGGTTAAGGAGCTTATCTGAGCTTGCTCATCTGAAAAAAGAAACGGCAACTTGCAAGTGCATCTTCTTCTTCTAGAGGAAATGCCAATTTTGACCATGAATATACCAGCAGAAGCTTTTTCGAACTCCCAGGACACTTGTAAAGCAGGTTTTGAATGAGTTCAGGCAGCTATTATTGTATTTAATTATGAAGGACCAGTACAGAAGACATTGAGCTGCAAGAGTCCTTTAAACATTATTGAGGAAACCAAAAGTCACTTTTTGACCATTGTTAGCGAATTTCCTAACTAAGCCATTTCATCTTCCGCCTATTCATACTTTATTTTACCAAAGAATATTTCTTGTCAGAAGCATATTTCAAACAGCAGAGGCAAGAACTTCAAAAAGCAAGCAGTTGCAGAGCAAAAATACTTTCATTCATTAACTAGTATTTATTCAGAAAACAACTTTGTTCATAAAATACACCTTTTTTATTTAAGAATTTGTTCGAAGTGTTTGGAAACCCGCTTGAATTTTTTGGAGTCGAACACTAATTTAGCTTATTATAACTTATATATTATGCTTATTAACATGGAAGTTGAACTTTTGATAAATCAGCAAGTTGCGAATTTGATCGATCTTTATTTAGCAATAAAGGAATATTTTTAGCGCTAAAATGCAGATCTATTATCCTTGTGTTGAGGAATGTCCATTTATTACTTTTTTCCCAACACCGCACTTCCTGTGCACTTTTATAAACTGCTTTGTGATTATCCAGACAGCAGCTTTCAGCACAGTACTTAGATTTGTTCCAGATTACTTTGGAGTGCATTTGTACCCATTAAGCTGTTGCTTTTATCTGTTGTTTTGGCGTTTTAAGGTGAATGCAAACAAGTCTAAGGATGAATAATCCAAATCGATCCCGTGCTCAAGGATTTCATCTTTGAGTTTTTCGACCTGCGCATCTTTTAGCTTGAAAATTAAAATCAAATCATCGATTCAGACCCTCATTAGATCTTGAAAACTACAGTATAAGTGAAAAAAAGAAAAAGTCAAGAGAGGAGATTTATGCAGTTTTTAGAGTAGTTATTCATAGTGCAACAAAGCATTTCAGTAATCCTTCTCAAGGAATATCGATGTAAACACTTCAAGCATTTTTTGTGCATGTTCATGAAAATGTTAAGAAGTTTCTCGTTCGGAGTGAAAAAAAGCATACAAAAAACTCTGATCACTTACTAATAACAGTGTTATTGCTTGACATTTACAAGCATTTTTTGTATTTGCCTGAGTCAACAATAGCTTCTTCTTTTTTAACCTCAGAAATATCCCATACCCTTTTTCTTACAGTATCAGCATTACCATACCTTGAAACTTTTAGTATAAGACTAAGGCTCACTTTTTAGGAATCCAGCTAAGAGCCATAGTTCGAGAATCGTGCGAACTTCCACAAGACGATGTTAGCGTAAGTAGGACTCAGTTTATTATTTGTTTATTTATTCATTTATTTATTTACTCAATATTTTCTTAGCGTTCCTTACAAAAGAAGACAAGAAAACACACAGTTAATCATACAACCGCAATCACAGTTTTGAAGTTTGGGTTCAAACTTGCAAATTGATTCTAAAAAATATGTGTTGATCAAGCCTGTTTGAAGAGATGTTAAACGAAAAAATGTTTCTTCGTTCTAAAGAAAATATTTAAGCAAATTTAAAAATTATTACCTAGAATTATTATTAGCATGACTTTAAAAATCCTTAAAAATTTACGAATTTCAGAAGCGAGAACAAGCAATTGACAAGATTGCTGGTCATATCTATCGTACTACTCATCGGAAGTACAAAGATGAAGGCAGTGCTTTCCAGTAAGCATTTTTTATCCATAATACTCTCACAAAATAAAAATTAAGGAGTAATTTTGTATTTTACAGCAATATGGTGCGAACTGGATGGATGTCTAGCAATTACCTCTTCATGAAATTCCTGTTTGTTCTCAATATCGTTTTCCAAATCCTTATTCTTCACATGTTCCTGGGATTCCATTGGGGAGATCTTTTTCGTGAGTTCACCCTCAGAATATTTGGCAAGGTTCCAACTGATTCCTCTTTTAGAGCTCAAACTTGGTTTCAATACTGATTGGAAAGCTACGGGGTTGTTCCCTAGGTCAACAATGTGCGATTTTGAGGTTAATTCATTTTTCACCTTTTTTCACCTAGAAAAATCAAATTTCAACTCGTATTTGAGGTCCGAACAAAAGGAAATTTGCAAAGGTACTCTGTACAGTGCGTTTTATCTCTCAATATGTTCAATGAGAAAATCTTCTTGGTCCTTTTCTACTGGCTCATTATTCTATTTTTCGTGAGTCCTCCATTTTACATAGCTTTTTCTCAGTATCCGCAAGAAAATTGTTTTTTTTTCAGTTGACACTGGTAAATTTCTGCTTATGGGTAAAGAAGTTGCTCTCACGTGAAGATCAACTAGCTTTTGTTCGACGAATGCTAGAAAGTGCTGGAATCCAGAGGAGAAAAATCCATGTAAAGGTACTTTGAATTTTGATGGAAGAATACTTTCATAATTTGAAGTACTAGTCCTTAAGCATTCTCTTGAGTGAATTACCTATTAAGAGTCCTTAGTTTTTTTTTTGATAAGTACCCTTTTCATACGTTTACTCACTTGAAGAACTGGTTTTCTATTGAGATATCACAAGTGTTGATGTTCGAAGTCCAATGACAAGAGCCCTTTTGTCAGGAGCCTTGAGCTTATGTTCTTCAACTATTTTCAATAACTATTATCATTTATTGAGCTTGAATTTCTAGTATATGAGTCGTTATTGTTAGCGAAACAAGCCTCAAAAAAGTAAGGCCTGAAGATTTTACTGTTAACACAATAATTAACACATTTTGCCTGAGAATCGCTTGAATAAGAATAAAGGGAAATAAGGAGCGAGTAAAGATACCACCATAAAATACGTATAGAAATACAATACACGCATGGAAAACCACCTTAGCAAACCTTTATGAAGGAAGATTGAAGAGGGTTAGCACAGTTCCTGACAACATTTGCGCGTCAACAGCAACAATATGTGCTCTATGGCCAATTCTTACGCCCCGATCGCAAAATTTGTTGGCATTTGCAAGTACCGTATTTGTCTCCATCACAAGGGCATTACATCAAATAAAAGATACTAGATTCTACTCAACGAAATTTAGATTGATTTTTATTTTCCGATTACTACATCCGAATTTCTTGTCCCTAATTTTTAGTTAGTTCAGCATTAAGAATTATCAAATCAAGCTGATTGCTAAATTTTGCTAAAGAAACGCTGCAATGTTTTTCATGGTCATTAACACAGTAAAAATTCATCGGCAAGATATCGGAGAGTTCGTAGAGCTTAACTTTTAGCGCGTTGACTATCCACCTCTTCTACGACTCAAAGGCGTCACAACCGCGCCGCACAGTGGACGCAGTGTTGTGTCTGTCTACGACGTTGCATCAGCTACCCTTTTTTGCATCCTGCATAACATTTCTCGTCATTGTAATGCAATTTTTATTGACTTAAAAAATGGGAGGAACCTTAGTATACACAATACAAATTTTTGTCCTCAAAAATTTACCCATTAATCGGCTCCGGGAACCTTATAGTCCGCACAGATCATTCCTGCAATCACCTACGGGGTTGTATTGCTGTGTCGATAGCACTTAGCAAAGATAATGGCTTGGCCTCGTTGAACAGGAAGTTGCATCAATGAATTGTGGTTTTTGCCCTAATTAGGCATAAAAGAAAGTACATGTAATTCCTCCTCTTCATCCCCCCTCCTTCATTTCCTCCTCTCCCACTCGTTTGCTCGCTCATTGGGTCATAGTCATCACCTAACAGAATAGTGTTTGAATGAACTATGTCAAAAGGCTTATAGGAAACAGGTGTTAACTTTATATGAAGCATATACATAACGTAGTCTGTTGATTATATTGTCCCCATCCTCCCCCACCACCTCCCCACTCCCCCACGTCCTCCCCCGTGACGTTCTTGACACGTACACTTGCACTCTTATAGAGCGATGACCGCAAATTCTAGTTCCAGCGTGAAAGAAACATCTTATTAGGCGGAATTAAATTTATAGGACAAAAATCCCGACCACGTGGGATAGAACTACTTTTGGTTGATTATGAAAATTTCAGGAAGAATCCGAGAAGAAACCATTTGTGGAATACCTCGATAACGAAGTTGAAAATATCAAGGTAAAGAACTGGAAGCTTTAGAGGGAGGAACATGATCCTTAAACTTTTAAATCTGAATTTTTAGGCCCTCGATAAATTCGAAAGTAGTGTGGATCGTGATCTCATCGTCATCCTCAGATTGATTTCGTCAAATGCTGGAGCAAATGTTTGCTCTGATGTGACGAAAAGCTTATTTGAGAAATTTAAAAATAGCACCATGTAAAGTGTAGGTAGGTATGTTCAACTCCATTTTTTATCTATATTTTCAAAAAATTTGTGATTTTTCAGTTCTGATGATGTCCACTGCCGTAATCACTTTCGATGCCAATGCTCTTTCTAAATTTGTTATTGTATTTTACAGGGAATAAAGATTTGTTGCAAGAATTTCTTATTTGATACAGATAACTGTAGTTGTTTACACATCTTGTTCTCTTCGATTTTCATATCAGGTTCTTTCAATATAAATATATCAGGTTCTTTTGATATAAATACGTTGTGAGTTCCTGTAACAACAAAAATTTCAAAAAAGGAAATTCCTTGCCTTTTACTTAAAGTGACGAATAAGCCTTCAGTAGAAATAAAAATAATAGGAATAATAAAAAATTAAAATTAATCAAAATATCCTTGCTGATGGCCTCGTTTCGAGTGCCATGGAGCGTCCAATCTTTTTACCCGCATTTAGCAAATTATCTGCCCCTTTAAAAAAATCCAACAAGTTTTATAAGAAAAGCTATAATCTAATCCCCATTGAGCATGTATCGCAAAGATTTTTCCGTTTCGTGAATAAAGATGCGCTACAAACTGACGGGGTAAAAAATCTGCTCTAACGTAGTATCAATCCATCAATCCATATTGTTCTCTATCACAAGGACAGTCGTAATCTTGAAAGACGTATAATTTGAGATAACTTGCCATTCTTCATTAATGTCACAGTGGTTGGAACTTTGCACTTGCATCTCGTATTTTATGGTGGGTGGAACAAGAAACGTTGTAAATGATGATCTTCTGGATTCTTATCCCTTTTGACTCACTATTTATCTACTCTTGAAATAATCGTTCTCTCTCGTGAACGTAAGCAGAATTTAAAAAAAGCAATTTGAATATTGACGACTAACAAAAAATAATCGTCCTAGTAACAGTTCTCACACAGATGCGGTTTAGACATTTAGACCTGCAGATTAGTGGGTGGGTGAGTGAGAGCATCCCAATAGGCGGAGCCGTCCCAGCTCATATGCGATTTTTGTGCTTCTGGCCTTCTGAGTTTTGCTTCTGCACTTGGACGATGACTTAGGGTGGATAAATCTGGCTCAAAGTAAAGGAGCGAATGAGAGTTCAGTAAATTAGATCCCAATCTGCGTAGTGATCATTGAATTTTCATACCCGTTAATTTTTTCGGCGAGGTGGTCAAATGGAGCTATTTTGCACAATATTTTCAGCGCAAACTCTGTGGGTCTCTCTAGGGCACCATCTACCCTAAGTTAGAGGTTTTGGGCTTTTATAAGTTTACAATAGTAGGGCCCCCTATCGAGCCAGTGCCCAATCGCGACGCAAAATGTCGCTGTTAAAGCTCAAAATAGCGAAGAGGCCCAAGTCGGCACCTCCCACCTCCAGTAATGCCCGCCCATCCATGCGCCCATACAATTACCGTTGGAGTACCGGCCTGTAGGTTCTCCGAAATAGGGATTGTCGTTGTTTTCGCGGATTTTCAACTTGATGAGAAGGCCCCGAAACGGCCAAATCATGGAAGTCGAGAATGGATGGACGATGCTTATAATCCTAGCCAACTGCCTCTCAACAAATTGTTGGATAACAAAATGTGTGAATTTACTTGCTATGACAACTTGTTGTCTGTTGTTTTTGAATGCAAAAGGGAAAAAATCACAAAAAAAGTGCAATCGAGCGCTTCTTTCACTTTCCCGCGCTGATTAGGCGCTCTCTTTTTGCACTTATTTTGTCCTTTGGGAATGCCAAGTTTTCGAACAATTCATCATCTAGAATTCTAATGATTTGTAGAATTCGGCATTCTCGCAGTGATATCTAAATGATTTGGTTTTGTTGCAGTACCATTGTTATTTGATAGTGTAGCGCACACCATGCGTGACATTCCACGACTTGTGCGCTGGCAGGTTGCCAATTTTAGAGATTTCTGACAGTTGTCCCTTCTTCTTGAACATGAAAGGTGCGATATTTGTCAACAGCGTGCATCAAAACGTTTTCATTGATAGAGTTTACGGTTGAAGAGTCGTGGAGTATGGTGTGGTATGTGTAATTGCACACATGAGTGTACGAAGTTTACATACTTTTAGCAATTTTCTTGATCGCTTTTTAGCGGTTCCATTAGTGTAATTGATGTACTTAGTTTTTCACCTAATATTAATTTTTTTCCCTGCTTCCTCTATCCTATCCCTTTCTCTAAATTGCTTTGAGCCGTTCCGTGAGAAGATAATCCATCCTAACTTGGAATAATTCAGCAATTACGTTGATGGGGTCGGCATGAGACCCGAACGAGGACATCGGGTCCACAGATCATATGCGGGGGAAGCCGCTTCACCTGGCCGGAGTAGGGGGAAAAGGGGATTAAAGGGCGATGATGTTAATGAGACACACCGGGGCGGTGCCATATCGACCGCGCGCACCTAGCCACATTAGACCAGACGAAGTCCAAGCAATCGGCCGATTCGTCTCGGCACTTTATGCCCTTTGTGGGAATTTATTTGAAATTCTGAACTATAACTCGTTTTATTACTCGTCCCCCCCCCCCTCTGCTTCCCTCGTACAAACTCAATCACTCTTCCCAAACAATCTTGACGTCTTTATAGGCCAACGCAGTTTTTTCATCCGTCACGTTTCTATTTTACGTGATTTTTCGATCTCCATCAATTTTTTTTGTATTGCAGATTTTTTTTGGAGCTAGAAAATGCCATAAACGCCTATCGTGTAATCTGTCCGACATTAACAAATATGAAGAATGAATTGGGAAGTGTTACAATAAACTTACGGCTTTACCTTCTCATATTTTTATTGAGTTGTAAACAACTAAATTTAAATTTATTGACTATTTTTCCCGGATTTTTTGTCAGATTTGGATCAGAAAAAAAAACTACGGTTTTTTTCCGAAACCTTCGGCATTTCTGATATACACTTAAAATTGATATTTTCCCTTTTTTAGTTTGCTAATGAATAATGACAGACTGAATTACTTGAATGAATAATAATGTTAGTGTTTATTTTTCTCGAATCCTTGAGTGTTCAATAATCTTTCATTAAAATTGTTGTGCTTCTTCTTTTTCACATCTCTCCGCTAAATAGATTACACTTGATAAACGCCATTATTTTTTTTTAAATCTGTTACTTCCATAATCTAAATCAACTTCGGCTTATTTTCTTTTCCCTCAGTTTCTTTTTGTTCATTTTTCATATTAAGGACTGTTAACATCTTTTCCTAGTCAGTCACCCCTCTTCAAAAATCCTCATGACCTTCGAACAAACCTTTATATTCATTATCGTGTACATTTTGTGCAAGTTTTCGCATTCTTTGAACCCATTATCGAACAAAAAATAGAATGGGCAGCCTCTAGGGATTGCATTGCAAACGTTTACCAGTTAAAGAGCAAAGAACAGGCAATTGAAGGTTTTCTCTTAACAAAAGTGATTGAATTTTTTATGTGTTTTTGATACGAGAATGTAAATTCATAATCTTGATGGGTATCTCATATGTCTTCAATTGTGTAATTACGAAGCTTATTCTTTGATAAGCACTTGATAGGTTTCGTGAGGAAGAATTACTTGAATGTTTTCTTAGGTTTCTTGCGAAAGCGTGTCAGTAAATGTTTTTTATAATTATAATTATATCCTACTAGAAATATAAATCGTAGTTTTTGAATCTTTGAGCTCATTTGGGTTGCTTGCACATTGCAGTGTGTTTGCAAAATTTGGTAGTAACTTGACAGTAACTTATACAGGGTGTCCCAAAAGTAAGTACACACTTTTCAATCGCCAATATCTCTCTTCCCAATGGGTCTTTTTTTGCCAGTCAAGTACCATTCTGTAGAGGAAGCTTCAACTTAGATTTATAGTAACGAGCGAATCACTGATCACTTTTCGTTACTGTAGGATTACGGTAAAAACTTCCAGCATGTGCAACCATTGTGAAATATGCCATCCTACAAAATCTCTTTCAAAAAATCTGAAACATCGTGTACTAGGGTTTTCGCGCACGCTGATTCCACTACACAACTTTTTACCAGTGTTTTCAGCTTTTTTGACGGTGTAATCACATTTTTGACAAATACTGAGATTTCGATTATTACGGTTTACCTGGAATAACTTTGGAAAGAAGCATCACAGTAAAGTGGAAATTTCATATTCGAAATCAGCGGCATCCATTACCATAGTATAAGAGTTTTTGGCTTATTTGGTTTTGTTCCGAGGCAGAATATTGCTTCCTATGGCCGAAAATCCCTGTCAAAGTTCCTACAGTAATCCTACAGTAATGAAGAGCGATCGGTAGTTCACTCGACACTGTAAATCTAAGTTGAGGCCTCCTCTACAGAATGGTACTTGAATGGTGGAAGAAGACGCAGTGAGGAGAGAGATATTAACTATTGAAAAGTGTGTACTTACTTTTGGGACACCCTGTATTATAAAATTTTAAAATTTGGTATGATTACAATGTTAAAACTTCCACGTTTTTTCGTGAAAGATTTTTCACACAAGCGCAAATGCTTACAGATATTGCAGACAATCCAAATTTACAATGAACAAAATAATTACAATAATTACCATTACGATACTTTTCACAATAATTTCTGTCCTTAAATTTAGGCTATTCTCATGCAAGTCTTTACCTTACCAAAAATTGTTCATCCGAATTTCCAACTCTTTTTTGTATAAATCGATTTTTCGTGAAAAGTGCACAAAATTACCTTCATTTACAACTCAAGTGCCCCTTTGACGAAATAAATTCTAATTCTTCTCACTCTACTTTGATGAGTTAACACTCAATAATGGTTTTTTTATTGCTGGAAAATGTAAATGTAAATTTCTCTACATTGAGTTTCCTCATTAGTTTTGTAGAAACTCGTTTACCACTCTTTTCACTCTCCCCTTTCCATCTTCAAAATTAGAAAAAAGCAAATTTACCTAAGCATTTGGCGAATTTATTGCTGGAAATATAAACTCCTAATAAACGGCTTTCACCTCAATAATTTTGCGAGAACTTTTTACAATTATTTTCCTTTTAACGTTCCACAGCCTCAAAATTAGCAAACGAAAACAGCTACATAGGGCATGTTTCTCGTTTTACAATCAGCTTAATTTCCACATGAAAACACTTCACTTTTTTCGCCTTTTGTACTATTAGAATCGCGACAAACACCAACTGTGCCCACCTATTCTTTTTTAGACACTACCTAAGTTTTTTGCGGGGTACACTCGTTTGTATAAATATATCTTGTTAGACTCAAAATAAGTAAAGGTTTGGCTCCTAAGGACCAAAATGTAGTTCTTAGAAAGTGGGGCAGCGATTTTGTTTTCTGCTTGGTTGGACGGCTATAAGCGCCGAATCATTCATCCATTCCACTCCTTCTTTTCATCTCGCTATACTTTTATGTTGCTTTTTCTTCCTACCTGGTACAGTAGTAAATGCAATGCTCTAAAAAAATGCTATTACAAGAGCTGCCTAAGTTCTTTGAAATTCGGGATTTACCAACTTCTTGCCCTATTGGCGAATTCCTGCGAGAAAGCGAATTAGGGCAAGCAAATTTATGGGTCTACTAGCTGGCGTACCCGGCTTCGCACGGGGCCAAACTTTGCACACATACACTTCGGGGCAGGGAGCGTGTCATACTCCACTTTTCGTTATCGATCGATGTCGATTTTACCGATTTTTATCGATTTTTTTGCAGAGTTCACCTACAGGGCTAGGAGTTGGCACAGGGGGGGAAGTGAGCATGGGGATTCCGAATACAATATTAGTTTTCAGAATTATCGATTACTTTTATTGATTTTATCGATTTTTTGTAAATTTTGACATGCGAGGCTGGGATTTTGCACAGGGGGAATCGAGCATGCTGATTACGAACACAATATTAATTTTCAGGATCGTCCATTACTTTTATCGATTTTATCGATTTTTTTTTGTAAAGTTTGACCTGCGGGGCTGGGAGTTTGCACAGGGGGAATCGAGCATGCTGATTACGAACACAATATTAGTTTTCAGGATCGTCCATTACTTTTATCGAATTTATCGATTTTTTGAAAATTTGAGCTAGGGGGCTGGAATTTGGCACAGGGGTGTAATCGAGCATGCTGATCACCCCCCTTGGGGGTGATCAGCATGCTCGATTACCCCCCCTGTGCCAACTCCCAGCCCCCTAGCTCAAACTTTGCAAAAAAATCGATAAAATCGATAAAAGTAATCGATAATCCTGAAAACCAATATTGTATTCGGAATCCCCATGCTCGATTACCCCCCTGTGCCAACTCCCGGCCCCGTAGGTGAACTCAGCAAAAAAATCGATAAAAATCGATAAAATCGATATCGATCGATAACGAAAAGTAGCCTATGACACGCTCCCTGCCCCGAAGTATATGTGTGCCAAGTTTGGTCCCGATCGGTTCAGAAATAAAAATTTCTATTCGCACATACGTACAGACATACATACAGACAGACATACAGACAGACATTCAGCTTTATATATAAGAAGATAATCCGAACCCATTCGTGTAGCCTTTAATGTCCTTTATCCTTTAGTGCAGGCCAACTGTGTAATTTTATAATTAGAAAACTTTCTCGTTTTTATCGCTGCCATGCTCAAAATAGGCAAAACCTAACGTACAAAATAGTCTCCATCTTATTTTGTTTTCGAAAAGAAGTCCCTCAACCTATTTTCACATACAGTTTTTCGGTAAAGCGATCCACTTTCTTTTGCTTCCCCCAATTTTCCAATGCTTCTCGAAACACTTTTTTCCTCGTTCAATGTTTCTTATGTCTCAAATTTCTTATGCCCTCCTTGCTTTCCAAGCAAATTGCTTGAGCTTTCTCTGAAACTCTCTCACTTTCCAAACCAAATGTTTCTTGTACTTCCCGTTTTTAGTCTTCTGGAATATCTGGTACCTCTTTTAAGCTTCCCAGCTCTTTTCTTTGAGTTTCTTACCCATAAGGCAGATGTTTTATTCTTTACTCCAAAATTTTCCCAAAACAAACTTTCCATTTTTCAGTTTTTCATAGTTTTTCCCCCTCAAAGTTTTGGCAGCCAAAAGGCACCTATTCTCCTTTCTGATCCTCGCTTGCTACTTCTCGGTTCTTGATCATGTGTCAGCCTACTTGCTCAGATTTTATCTTTTTTCCTTACAAATTTTCCAACTGGGGAGTCAGGACTTCTTTTGCGCATTCAAACTTCAGAAACCAAAGAATCCTTTTACACTTGCGGAGTTTTCTTTATACATATAAAATTTCAGAGAGAAAAGTCGAAGAGTAAATATAGGCATCTCTTAGCAAAAAATTGAAGCCTATAATTTATTGAAAACAGGCTGCATAATTTGTATTCGATATGTATTTTCCGGGAAAGATAAGTTAATAAGGCTTCAGAACACAAACGAGCAAGAATTTTCCTTAAAAGTTGTTTCCAGTTGTTTTATGGTATTCAGCGTCGATTCGGAAAAATCTGTTTTGGAAAATACAATAGATCTTCCAAATAATTATGAAACTGTGAGATGTGACTCTATGAATGTTAACGAAGAATCCAAGCGATGTAGAGAAGATCTGGTTTTTTTTTCGAGCCAAAAAATATATAAATCAAATCAAATCTTAGCGTTTTGAATAATTGCCTTTTGATATATACCAAATGTTTGTGTTCGTTCGAGGTTCCCTTATCAAAATTGACATGATTTTTGATTGAGAAAATGTTGAAATTCTTCCCTTGAGTCGCGGAAATTGTAATTTTCAATCACTATGAACCCAACAGTAACAAAAATTCCAGTAAAATGAAAACACAGAAGTCTGAATAATGAAAATAAACTTCAGAAAATTATCTGTAATAATCTGCCACCCTAATAGAACTATTCAACATAAAAGTTCACAATTCCTCTTTCCTCTTTGGAGCAGTCTTCATTCTTTTTCTCGTCGATTCTATTCGCTCGTTTCTTTTCTCTTCTTCTAAAAGAAGAAAAAGACAAAGACAGAATTTCAGAATTAGTTCAAGTCCTCAAATTCTACAGTGATGGTACGTGGTGTAGTAACAATGGAACGAGTGGAGACATTCTCCGCTGCCCACCGGCTGCACTCAAATCAACTCAGCGCTGAGGAAAATCAGAAAATCTACGGGAAATGTAACAATCCCAATGGTCATGGACATAATTATGTTTGGAAGGCTAGGTCACAAAAATTATATTCTTTTGCTAAAGATTTATTTTAGGTCAAACTCCGAGGTATACCCGATCCCGAAACGGGTATGGTGTATGACTTAGCCGAATTGAAGCAGGATATGAAAACGATTCTTGATACGGTAGATCATAAAAATCTCGACAAAGATGTGGAATTTTTCCAGGTGCGTAACGCTTTGGTTTTCTCCAAGTTTTTCTCTTCATCATCAACTATCACGCGGGGAGTGGGGGGGGGGGGGGGAGGGACAATTGCAAATGGTTTTTTTATTAATTGAAACTCTTTTCTTTCTTGAAACCATTTAGAATCATCTAGAAGAGGAATACTTATCTTGTAAATGGTTTTACTGATTTCCAAACTTTGAAATGAAACTGGTTCATACTCTCTTCTCTTGTATTTTCATACCCAGTGTTTAAATGCTAACAATAGGTCTTGTTAGAAGCTGGGATTGCACTTCTGCAGATTCAGCAACATTCAAGACTTTTAAAGAAGTAAGAAATTCCTGAAAAAGACTGTGACATTGAATGTTCAAGATGGAGTTTCAACGTTTATCGCAACGGCAGCATCCAAAATCAAAAGAAAATCTTTACATTATTGTGTTACTCTCTGAGCCATATTCCATTGTAGTGCAACAACTTTTTGAACCTATTCAGACTTTCCAACAAGCAAATCTAAATCTACTTGGTAGCTCTTATCTTGCTGTAAGTTTGCTTTGGCTGAAACGTAGAGAATTTGAAAGGGGTCCATTATGTCGCCCTTTCTTAGGTAGCAGAGAATGCACTTTTTCGAAAATTCTAATTTTGTCGGCGCTGACAATGGACAAAATTCCTTTTTAGTAATGAATGTCCCAGGCCTAATTTACACTATATAGAACAAAAACTCTCCATTGTGCTTATGATTTCGTGTTTATGCTAAAAAGAATTTCCAAAACTTCCCTAAATCATGCGCGATAGGCTTTTGATAGCACAAGTCCTCAGCAGAGTAGAAATATGCCTCAACAATAGTTTCCCTACATGGCTGCAGGCGAAAATTTCAGCATATGTTTCGCTGTTATTTCATGGCATGGAACCACGGAATGAACAAAGTTCTGTGAAAATAAAAGGATGCATGAAAAGCTAGAAGAAAAGAATCTAGAATAATACAGTACTGGCCATAGCTATAAAGCCACCCTAAAAATCACCGTAATTTGCTCTCTCTTGCTCATATTTGTCTGAAAAACCACTATTTTGTGCGCAAACTAGCGTCATACCATTGACCAAAACGGCTCCTGATTTCATGGATTTTGGCCGGAGAAAAATAGAAAATTTGAAAAAACGGATTTCGAAGGCTGGTCACAGCTATAAAGCCACCTCTTATTTTCAATCAGTACTGCGTTTTTTGAACCTCAAATTTTTTGTACATATAGAACATCAAAACATAAAACATCTATTACATTTGGAAGGAGTCGCATTTCAAGAAGAAGATTCGTACTGCATTTTTTACTCTAAAATGCATAATAGGTCACATCATTTGCAAAAAACTGCTTTTTCACTGAATTTTGAAGCACTTGTTTGGCTTGTATGAAGGCCCTATGCTTTGCCGAGCCTTTGCAATGAATATGGCGAAAAGCGCTTGAGTTAACATTGCGTAGTCGCTGATATTGATAAACGAGCCCCAACCTCACCTTCAGGTAGAAGAGTTTTCGAACCGCAGAAATTGAGTTCTAATGCCCGAAAAGCTCTGTCGCGTGCTCAACACGTCGCTTGTATAACGACAGACTCGTGTGCATAGCCTGTACGTCATCGCAACTCTGAGGACTCTGGTTCCGCTTTGGATGCCTTTTTTCCAAAAATGAGTGGTGCACTCCGTCTGATCATGGTCCACTCTAACCACCTCGATCGAGCGGAAAACCGCTCAGAAGTTCAAAATCCTTCTATTCCTGACAGTTTAGTAAGATTTGAATTGATGAGGAGTTCATTCAGTGAAATTTGAAGTCTTGTGAGATACACAGCGCAACCGAACTGCAGACAAAGCGTTCTAACTTCATTGCGGCAAATAGGTCTTTGTAAAAAAAACCTGGCGGTTTTTGCATGAGTACGTCGTCGCCATGCAGACAAGGTGTCAACTTCCAACCAAAAGCTTTTGCGTGTCAGAAATCTAGTTTTGCGCCTCAGAAGCGCGCTTACACCTCGGTAAGATGAGGCTCGTTTACCAAGATTAGCGACTACACAATGTTGAGTTCAGCACTTTTCACCTCGTTCATTGCAAAGGCTAAGCAAATCCTAGGACGTTCATTCGAGTCAAAAAGTGCTTCAAAATTCAGTGAAAAAGCAGTTTTTTGCAAATAATGTGAGTTATTATGCAATTTAGTTCAAAAAATGCAGTACGAATCTTCTTTTTGAAAGGCGACTCCTTTCAAGTGTAAAGATGTTTCATATTTTGATGTTGTATATGTACAAAAAATTTGAGATTCAAAAAACGTAGTACTGATTGAAAATGAGAGGTGGCTTTATAGCTGTGACCAGCCTTCGAAACCCGTTTTTTCAAATTTCTAAAGTTTTTTCCGGCCAAAATCCATAAAATTGGGAGCCGTTTTGGTCAATGGTAGACGTTAGTTAGTTGCGCACAAAATAGTGGTTCTTCAGACAATTATGAGCAAGAAAGCAAATTACGGTGATTTTTAGGGTGGCTTTATAGCTATGGCCAGCACTGTACAAGCTTCTTTATGGAAAATGGTTTTTTCTTTTAAGATAGCAGTTTAAAAGACGTATAAAAACGGATAGAACTTACGAAACGAACCCAATACATTATGTGAGAGAAGAGTGCTAGCTAAGCCTGAGTTAGTGGAATCTTATTCTGCTCACAGTCATACCTTAAGCCCTGCAATTCAATGTAAACCAAGGTTAAAAACTTCCATTTTCTTCTTGGCTGAGGAAGAGATTCATGCACATCTATTTTTTACTCACATAAATTTAAAAAGCGAAAAATAAGAAAAAAACCTCCTTGTGCACTACTAACATGTGATTTCTCTACACGTAGTCAAGATAAATTTAGTGTAATTATATCCGTCATAAAATGTTCAATAAACCGTTACTTTCTACCAAATCTTCTTATTAACTCAACACTTACAGAACAACGTTTGAAGGAGCAATTTCCTGTCTTACCGCAAAGAGTTTCTAATTTTAGAAATAACGCCATGTCTTGTGCTCTAGAACGAATTGCATGCACAAATTGAAACTTGCGCTTACGAATATTTTCACTTTTTTTACATTTCAGCACAACGTCAGCACATCGGAAAACGTGGCGATCTATCTATGGGAGAAGTTACGAGTGCAAATGAAGAAACCGAAATTGTTGTATAAAGTGACAGTGGAGGAGACTCCGAAAAACATTTTCACTTACAAAGGGGAGATTTGAGATTGGAATTTGATGTTTATCTATATGCTACATTACTCTGTAAATATATGTGAAAAAAATTTGAGTGATAAATAAAAAATTTTCGCATTTTTATGTAAAATTAGCCAAAAGCAAGGCAGATCTTGCCAAATTAAAAACCATTGAAGCTAACTGTAAAATAAATGATCTATGACTCAGAATAAAAATGTCATCTGTCAGGTTATATGCCCCCCCCAAACATCGATATTATTTGAACACCTGTATGCTGCTAACCATGTGTGCCCGAATTTCGAGAGCATCACCCCACTGGTCAATGGTATATACGACCAATGCGTCTCATTATATTATTGTATTTATTCTTACCTGTTATTGGTCAACTTGGTAAGTCATTATTTCTTCGCTGACCGATTGTTGTTTGAAGGTTTCAATTTGTAGTCCTTTTTGGAAAATTGGTGTTGGATTAACTCCATGGTTTTTCATTGATATAAATGGTGCAATAATAGTAGATTTTTGGGGAACTATGGACACGGACTTGGTAAATGTAAAATTTTTGACCTTCACAAGAAAATCTATCTGCTCAGGCTCAATAATTTAGATAAATCGTTGTGTAAACAGATTTCAGTTTGCTGCTCCCAGTGCAAAACATCCTCTCTCTCTCTCTCTCTCTCTCTCTCTCTCTCTCTCTGCACAAATCAGTAAGGTACAAACAATTATCTGATAACTAGCATTTCTTTTTTCATCATTTCTTTTGTTCCAATCATTTCTTCCGCCTATTATAATGATCAGCAGAAGTTCAAGTAAAAAGATTTTTTTATAAAACTCCGAATAAAATCCTCGTTCCTCATCGCTTGCTGATTCTTTCGACTCGAATTTTTCTTCTAGCTTTCCTTGCTCAACTCCGTGATGTTCCGGCCTTTGCATTTGAGGAGTATGTTAGGAGAGGCTATTCTACATATTTGTCCCGTATGCGGGGCTGCATCTTTCGACAAAGTAAAAGCTCCGAAAATTAGAGCTGAAAGCTGGGCATTTTCGTATAGTAAAAGACTAGGAAAAAGCTTTTATGAGGTAGCTTCTGCCCATGTTTTTGAAATTGCCGTGAATACTCCTTAGAAATTGTCTCAAAGCGCAGCACATCTTCTTCCTGCACCCTTCCTCCCCCCCCTCCCCTCCCCCCAGTCATAAAAGTGAATTAGAATCTGCTTAGTTCTTCTTTGAGATTATTACTTACGATAAAAGTCAGTTCCCTCAACAATCAAGCTAATGGTATGTCATCTGTTTCCAAAGAAAATTCTGTAAGTCATCTGTTCCCAAAAAATTGAAAGTGATTTGATTTACTTTTTTATTTTGATCTAATCATCTTATCAACAACATGTAGGTCTTATGCTTCTTCCTCATTAGAAAGTTCCGGGAAGAGCCCGGACATGGTAAATTCCATGCTAACCGATTCAGTTTTGATAGAAGGGGCAGAATTTTGGTGAGATCAAAAAACTTTCCCAAAACTGCTATGTCTAGTTTTCTCAACTCTTTATCGCACGTAATGAGTGCTATTTCTAGTTATAAGAGCATCATTACAAATAAAGCAAGTTGCTTGAGAAGGATACTGAATTTGCAAGCATACCGAGTACGGTAGTAGTATGTGCTTCATTGTGAAAAGCCACCTTCAGTCACATGATGCTCAATTTGTCATAATTGCACGCTTGCGTGATTTCTTTCTTTTTCAAATGCCATTTAGCAAAAGTTCATAGCACATGCACAAAAGGGAAGAAAAAGGCTACTATGCAGAACGATGTTAACCAAGGGAAGTACCGGGGATTATCCGGTACAATTGTAGTGTTCCTGGGTGAATCCCATTACTTGTGACTGTCAATTATGCAGATGCCGCGCGCGACATGCTGGCAGTAAACAAGTCCGCAGAAAGCTTGATTAGCACACTGGCAAGGCATACTATCCTATCTTTTGCAAAGGTTTTTAACACTTTGATATTGATTTTTAGTGTTTGATGGAAGTTTTTGTGAGAATAAAGAAGGATAGCGAAGGGAAATACAGAAATTACTATGTCCCTGACCACGAAATGTACTTTCTATTCAACACAATAAGGTACTAGTCTCGAAACATCCCCTATGGAGAATTTCCTGTGGCCCTGCTGCCTCTCGCTCGGGTTACTGTAACGCCGCCTCGCGGCAAATTTCAATTGACACTCGCAAGTAATGGGCACCCCCCGTGTTCCTTTTTCTCAAAAATTAGTAATAGAAATAGCTTTTTCTTTCTATTCTGTTGAGTGAAATTCTATTACCATAAAGATAATGCCGACATCTCTTCTCACAATTTGCTCTTAATCAGCAGGTTTCATAGATGACAACCTTTTTTTTTTGAAGAATAAGAATAAACACTGAGAATACATGCTTGAAGAAAGTCCTCATTGTTATTCAGTTTATTTATGTCAACTAAATATTTTGTCCTATTAGTGACTGTAATACCAACCTCTGGAGTGCAGTAATTCAAAGGTGGAAAGGTCTACACAGATCTGTACAAGATTTGCATAGAGATTTATCCGAGGGGATTCCGTTGCACTGACATAAATATCCGTTTACGATGGTGTGATTATTGTGTGGTGGACGACATGGCGCGATTAACGGGCTGGCCTTATGACAATAACTGTTTTATTACTATCACAGGAAAGATTACGTCAACCTAAATGAAGGGGATCCTACAGATATATCCATGCAAACTATATATTGATTTCTTAAGAGTTAGTCCCCACACTTGCTATCGCCTTTATGTCTAACGTCGAAACGCGCTCTCCTTTACTATCGCTACATAGAGCTGGACACTTCTTTCGGGCGTCTCACCCAGCAGCCATCTTGATTAAGTTTAGAGAAAAGCCCAAGGATAGATGACTCCTATTTCTTGGTGTACTTGTGTGTTTATCAGATAAATTGGGAAGCCAAATGGTGTCGAAAACTCTGTAATAAGAATATTTTGATTCACTATCGTTCAGCAGACCCTAGGCCTATCAAAACCAGTCATCACCAACTTGAAGAAAGTGAGGTTGTTCTGCTTTGATATACCTTGCCAAACTTGGGACACTGCCGCGCGGGACTATAATGTAGTGTTTGGAGTCGAAGATCCAATTACGTTTATTACCAAATCTCCAGATTTGTACAGATATGTACAAATATGATCCACTTACAAGCCGTATGGTCAGGCGTGCTAGAACTTGAGAATGAGCCGAACGTGAGGGTCCAGCGAACTTGCACCTGAAGGGAAGAACTCAAGTTGGATGGATGCATGCTCATACTGCGATATGGATTCTTTTTGTACAAGCACAATCTGATAAAACTTAGCTCTCAAGATATCTTTCAAGGGAAAATAAATACAAGTGATATGATAAGCGTTACGAAAGGTAAAACAAAACTTGACATGAAACTGTACAGTACTAAATGACTCATCAAACAAATAATTTGAAATGATCAACCAAATACAAAGGATTTTTGCATATACTATTTGAATGGTTTGATTATCACTTGGTCGTCGTCGTCGTCGATACCAACATGTTTAGAGCTCGTTAAAGGCACCGTCCACCCAAATTCTCGACTTCCATGTTTTTATCGATTCCAGGCCTTCTGAAGGCCCTGATTTCGAATATGGAGTCGAAAATCCGCGAACTCCCCAAAAATTCCTGTTCCGAGAACCATCTGTAGCAAACGCAGGCGAGATAAAGCATGCTAGTGGGCGGGGGGACCATGGTCGCCCCGCCTACTTTGCTATTTCCGGAGCGGATTTCTCGCTCCAGAAGCACTCTTTTGCGACGCAGCTTGGAGGTTTGCCTAGTTTGGGGGCTCACACTAGTATGCCATCATAATCTCGCCAACCTCCATTTTGGGTGGACGATGCCTTTAAGATATATTCCAGTACCGGGGAAAGTTGCGATAAGATTAGCGTGCGAAGTGGCAGAAAATAAGGATAATTCATAAGATGTGAGTTCGCGCGGCACCACGGCCGGTGTCATCTACCTAATTACAGGTGTATGCTAGGGGGACAGAGGGAGCTTTAAGTTTGAAGAAGCATGTATAGTCTTAGAAAGTCGAAGTCCCCAAGGCCTTTGAGAGCGCATCGCAAAAAGTGTCACAGCGATTTCTACTAGTACGATGCTACAGTTTGATACGGAGGTCACGATCTTGTCGTACGAACCCGAAACCGTAGCTCGCAAAAAGCTTGAAACGTTATGAATAACCGCAGCCAACATTGAAAAGAAAAGTGCATAAATGTACCGCAAGAGCTTGTCTACTAGACCTTAAGTTGATTTGAACTCGGTAAGGTTACGTTGGTGGGCTGCGTGGGGGCCTCGAGCCTTGAATATGCGCAATGTTCGCAGGGCTGATCAACTCCTCTCAAACGGGTGGCCTTGGCTCGAAACCGCTTATTAGAGTAAGCGTTGCTTTGTCTTACCTCTCATACTGCTTTGAATACATTTGATCTCTTGAACTGATCGCTGTGGTCCGATGCGACATTGGAGGTGCCATCAGATAATCTTGATTTTGAAGCTCCGACGAAAGTGAGGCGTGTAAAATGTCAGTCTTTGTTTACACGTCGTCTTGGCCAAGCTGAAGCAAGACCAATTGATATTCTTACCGTACATCAGCCGTTACCTGCACTGTGAAACTGCAGTTCATAGTTATAGGAACAACCTGTGTTTTGAGGGACTCACTGAGAGAAATCTGAAAAACGTAAGTACCTCGTCGAAGGGCCTATAAAACATTATGTATAACACAAAAACAGAAATCTGTTTTAATCCTGGAGAGGCATTGTGCAGACATTCCACTTAGACAAAAATCTCGAGCGAGGCTCTCTCTCGCTCAACGCTGCATTCTCTGGCGCTCACTTTTGGAGCTGCAGTGTCAAGGTATGAGATAACTGCTACACGTTGGCTGAGTTTAATAAATAGAACGTTACTCTTCCATCGCTCGAAATGCTTTTGTACTCCGGAAAATCCTGTTTACTAGAATTTAAGTCTTCCTTTCCTCGTAGAAAAGTTTTGAAGTACAGTACGCTTTCTTGATAACTATTCTGTCAAGCTCCTGGAAAATCTTCACGTAACTCGTAAATCTTCACGGACGCCCTGCACAACGCCTCAAAACCGCATTCCATTGTTCGCAGAGTTTCGTAATGATGTAAGCACATCATGTGTACGATTGTGCGTATGATGTACGAGTTCGTGTGCTTTGCTAGAAAAATACAAAGACGAGCGTTCATTTTCGTGCTGCCTTACTGCTCACGGCTTCGCTCTATCACGGCGCTAATGGAGCTGACCGTTTTGAATTCGTGTCAAATGATCGCGATACCTGTAAAGCAAGAGGTGGTTGTGTAAATCAAGCCGAACTTTGCCACCTGCAAAGGAATGTTCTCTTTGTAATCAGCATTCAATAAGCACGGTAGAGCAAAAGATAGACGACTGCAAAAGCAAAGGATGTGCCAGAATGAACACGGCTGAACTAAATTGAGAAATTTCTCAGAGTTATCAACTTCCAGGGGTACTGCATAGAATGCTAAAATACTGGCTCATGCATCCAAATGTGTTTCTAATGTCCATTTTCAGTGATAAAATTATGCTGCGGTGGTGACAATAATTGCCGTACCTATGACTCCGTAGAAGACCTGTACGGAATGGACTGCTGTGGTTTTCAACCGTTCAACAATTATACTCAACTATGCTGCAATGGAGTAGTTCGGTGAGCCAACCTGCTAAATTTTTTTTTGATTCTAGCATATTATATTCAGTCTCCAACAGGATTTAGCTATCTGCCCTTCACATGACTTGTTGAGGCTCAGTGGGCTCAGCACCTCTAGCCGGGTGCTCAACTGCCGAAGATTGCTAGCCCAGAGCCCTAAGCTACGCGACCGCTACCCTGACGTGCACATTGGCGCGTCCACTCGACGCGGTTATTAATCCAGCAACTGACCAGTGTGACCATTGCGCGACCGGATTATATAGGTTCATATAACAAACAAAATAAAACAAGGGCTTCTAAAACAAGAGACTATTGTTCTTTAACAAAGAGAATATTAACAAGAAACGAGCCGCGTCGTCTGGTGCTGCCGATGTGCTCACTCCATATAACGAGCTTCTAGGTTCCTCCACCAGAGTCGTCCGCAAGCCCCCAGGTCCATATGAAACGGTGCACGTGAACCCCCTCTCGCGATGTTCACCTACTGCTACTCCAGAGCTTCAGCGCGCTACTGCGCTTCTAACTCAAAAACTTCATATCGCTCAAACCCTCCAACGAAACCTCGTCTGCGCCGCCTGCTGAAGACAAGGCCAGGCACGATAAATACGAATCGATGAAAACGAAAGTCGTAGAGGCAAATTACGCTATTACTCAGCTATAAACCTATAGGTATACCCTCCGCTGCTGCGTTTCCAGCAGGAGGTTCCGCGATGTGGAAGTCGCGACGGTAGCGGCATGTAGCGTTCACCACTGCAGTAAGTTTCGACCCGCTTGAAGCCTAAGGCGTACCTAACGCGATTCGACCGAATCGCCACTTTCACGCGACTTGGCGATTTGCCAGATTTCTACAAATTCATCGTGCGCGCTTCTCGGACGCATGTTTAGGTATCTTGTGTAAGTTGTTGCAAACCAAGCAAGTTCTGACCAAAAGCAGCGCACTAACGACGAATTACGAAGGGTCGCTCTTGTCCCGAATCGCGCAGCAACCGGAATCGCGCGAGGTATGCCTTAGGCTTTAAAGGCGGTGTCCGGGCAAAAACTCAATTTTGAAATTTTGTGCTTATACGGGCCTACTCGCCATGCTGAATCCGAAAATCCACATTGGAAAGCGCGAAAACGGCGAAAAAGGGCTCTAACACAGGAGGGAAATCAGCAGGTGGGCGGGGCTTTCCCCAGTGCGATTTCACGCTCCCAGCTCCCGGAGCGATTTTCTCGATTCCGCTAGCCGTCCTAACATCGCTACCGGCCAAGTGCGAATGATTGACTTGAAACCGGAAGCGAGAAGGTCGCTCCGGAAGCCGGGAACGTGAATTCGCACTGGGAAGACCCCGCCCACCTGCTCATTTCCCTCCTTTGTTAGAGCCGTTTTTCGCCATTTTCGCGCTCTACAATGTGCATTTTCGGATTCAGCGTAGCGAATAGGCCCAAGTAAGCACAAAATCTCAAGATCGAGTTTTTGCCCGGACACTGCCTTTGAGCGGAAATTGGATTGGCGGGAGTCCGCCTTGCAAAATTTAGCGCCGTTTTACAGCTACAGTATATCATATCGTGCTGAGAACCCAAGCCTGCGTCTCTTCATTCTCCTTAGTTTTTGCTTGACAAGATGCCAGCGCAATGCCTCGCGAAGCTTCCTGCGATGCATGCGCTGCTGCACGTAGAATGTTTCGCTTAACCCGGGATGAAACCGACTGTAGATCTCTTCGAGGAGCTGCTTGCATAGCGTAGGTGTTGTCTTGGTGCTTTGGATAATTGGCAGAAATCAGCACTTGTATAATTTTTTTCCAAGAATTCTTGGCAGAATTAGCAAATCGAAACGATGGCATTCACAAATTTCGTTCACAAGCATGAGCAGGAAAATGTAAAACTTTGGAGTTCTCCCAATAAAGTGCAAATGTTCGACATAATCGTCAAAGTTTCTGGTGTCCCAAAATCGCAGAATGATCTCGAATTTGCTTCACTCCTACACCTATAGATCATCTATCGCTTCAAGGAATTGGATCCTTGCCATTTATCAAAGGATGATTGCGTGCGCTAGGCCCATATTAAGCAGCAATTATGCAAAGCATACGGCTTAGCAGAAATGTCTATTAGCAAACGTTCCGGGGGCGATTGCAAAAGACGAAACCTTCCATGAATACGAAATGGCACAAAATGAACGAAATGAAATGGCACATGTTGCTTTTCTAAACTACTTCTGGAAGGAGTCAAAGCCTACTTTACAGACAAAGTGGCATTATAAGTTTTGATACCTGCTCCAGGTTTCAGCGATTCTTCTAAAAGCAGAGCTGCCAAAACAAGTGACAATCAGAGATTATCCTACTTCGGAAAAATGCTCTTCTAAGATGTAGATTACAGCCATCCTTGAATTTTGTAAACCTAATTTCCGGAAAACTGTTTTCTTTACTACGGTTATCAAAAAGATTTTTCTTGCAAATTCTTCGCCCAGTTTTAGCCATTATAATTCAAATAGCACAAAAGTCGTGTCATAAGTGGAAAATAGTCGGTGGTTTGGAAAAATTTTCAGAAACAAAGGACGGGTACGAAGGAACTTTCTACATGTCGAACTTCAAGAAAACCTTGGTGGGCGAACGCACCACTCTTTTTCAAAGAATGCTTATATTGTCCTTTTGATAAGAACTTCGCCTAGCGCTGCCAGCTGGAGAGAATCTTGTAATTTATCTGTGTTTCAGTAGGACCCCTATCACCTGCAAGAAATAGTCTGTTCATACGTAATTTTTAATGATCCTATGTCTTTGATTCCAGAGAGAAAAATCGTGGTGGAAGACATGCTGATATGTGCTGTGGAACGGAAGCAATGAGGCCAGATCAAACATGCTGTAATGGAACAGTGAGTAATTTTTTAAATGAAAAGTTTGAAAGTGGAAAGAATGAAGCACAATGGCAGTAGATAGCTCCATTGATAAAAATAGAATATAGGTTAATTTTGCGACAAAATACAGTGAGAGAAGAAATTTCGTCAGAATCAGCCGTCACTTTATCACGTCAAACCTGACAATTGTTCTTTTTTTATAGAAGGCCTGACATTTTTTTCTTTTTTTGTTTTTTACAGCAACCTCGCTGAAACTCATCAAAAACCTAATATCAGCAAATTCATCTCTACCTTACCGTAATGCTTTCAACCAGGTTATAAAAATGTGCAAACTACTTGTTTATTTTATATATAATTAAAATAATTTTTTAAATTTTTTAAAAATTCAAATTAGCCTTATAAAAAAAATTTTTCGGGGGCGTGGCTGAAGCCACGCCCCTTCTCCCAGATTTTAGGGGTTGGGGACCAGCATAGATTTTGAGAAGCACCCCAAAAATTTTTTCGGAGTGCATGGCAACCGCCACGCATCTTCATTTGAAAAAAAATTTTTGTCGCGCCCCCCACCCGGTCCGAAATCCTGGGACCGCCACTGATGGCAGGAATTTCCCTTTTACTTTTCAACAGAACAGAAGAGAGAGAAGGGAGACGAGTCTCGCAGGAATGTGAATATTACAGTAATCAATCTTAAAATTATCCATATCTTTTCCAACTTCCTCGTTCACCCCCACTCTTTATGTTTCAATGCTCTAGGTGCACAATGTCATGAATGGCGACTGTTGTGGTAGTGCAGTGTACTTCCGACAAGAAGGTTCATTTCTTTGTTGTGAGAACAACTTAGCAAGGTACGTTTTTTTGCAGAACCACAGTATTGTTCACCTACCGTATACCAATCGTTGCAGGAAACTAGCGGCAACGGATATGTGCTGCGGATCGACCGTATTCGATGGAGGGCGTCAACAAATCTGCTGCGGGGACAGGGTAATCCCACTTGCAAATTTTTTCGCTCCTTTTGCAAAAAGAAGAAATTGTTTAGGTTTTTGACAGAAATCAAGCGGATTCATGTTGTATCCGTAACAATGGAAGTGAAGTGGAATATCACTCGAGCACCGAATTTTGCTGCAATGGGGCCGTACGAAAAGGCATAGGCCTTTATTGTTGTTATTTACGTATGAATGGCAATTTGGTGGCGGAATCCTATCAGAATCAGACGCATTGCTGCCAATTTCCATTTGATATCATCTATCAGAAAGTCAATGGCGATTGTTTCAGCCAGTTGCGAAGGATGTAGTGTTTTTGACTGTAAGAGAGTGGAGGAGGTTGGAATCTTATAAACTCTTGGTCAAAATTTTGGATTTAAGCTATGTTTGAAAAAAAAGGAGAAATTGGCGGGTCATACCGCAAGAGATGGGAAGCCTTCCAAAAATCTTTTTGGGACGTGCTTTATTCAGAAACTCTGGTTCCCTCTCCTCCTTCTGAAGAATCTTCTCGGGCCTTCACTGCTTTACATCTAGGAAATTTTCAACAATAATTTTGTAATTCTGATCTTGGCTGTGCCTTCAAACTGAATCTTGCTGGTGCTAATGATTCTTTGTTTGTATCTAGTGTTTAAATTTATCTGCGACAAGCATTCTGCTTTTACAATGAACCCTGACGTGTTTGGGCTCATATCAAGTGTAGTCGAGTCGTCGCACGCAGAGGATGGACGTAATTGCGTTCGACTGATACAGTTCAATTTGAAGAGACAGCAAACAGTAAGAGAGATAAAGCTGCGCTTGCTTAGAGAAACACCGACTGTCCGCAATGGCACTGTGTCTCTGCGTGTGATAATTCGATTACTCTTTGAAATTCCCGCAAGCTTTTTTCAAATGTTTTTTCATGCATTTATCACCTTTTAGGACAATCGCGCAATATTTTCTTTTCACCTATTCCTTGCTTTTGATTCGATTGACATATCCTTCTGAATGAAGGAGCCTACTGTAATATTTTTATTAATATTTTTCAAAAATCACACATTAACTGATTGTATGTATAAACAATTATTTCCTCATAAAGTAATAAAAGGTTTGTCTGCGTAACTGCGTGTAGTACAGAGGGAGATATTGCTACAGATCTCCTCTGGAGTGTCGTGTTCCTGAAAGTGAGGAAGTCAGTTCAAATTAGGTTGAAAAAGTGAGTTTTGAAAAAAAATTGCAGAAGGAAGAGCAAATAAAAAGCAAAATGGATAGAGCCATCTATGAGTGATAGTCTTATGGAATTCTGATGTGGTGAATCATTTACGTCAACAGGATTAGATAAAAAAATAAAAAATAAATAAGAGGTACTGAATAAAAGAAATTTCTTTGGCATCTGGAAAGGAGTATTATCAATGAAACTCACCTTCAGTTTCTCAACGATATATTTCAAATTCTTCGCAATTATCTTGTCACACGCATCTTCGAGAATTTCTGGCACATCATCTTTGCAAAATTTTTCCACAGCCTGTAAAAAGGCTGTGAGACAACCAAAGGTAACCTTAGCACAAAAATTTCTAAAAAAATTGTCCAACAGGTTTCGGCTGATGGGTAAGTGGTGATGGATTTAGAACTTACTTCAGCCACATCTCCTCCTTTTTCGAGGACAGCATCAACATTCTCGACGAATTTTTCGCACATATCGCATAGTGGCTTCTTCCTTAGTGTCAAAGCCATTGAGAGAGACGTTGAAAGAATAATAGCAAAAATTAGGGTCCTCATTGTGCTAAAAACTTCTGAAAAATTTCTCATAACATAACAGTAATGCATGATCTTTATTATTAAGGGAGGATCTCTGAACTAGTGAGCAGCATCAGTTTACGATAAACAACAGTAGTTTATATACCGCGCAAGTGTTCAGCAACATGATAGTGTCTCTTGATAGATATACAAAGACCTTGTTTGTGAAAAACTATGTTTAGTGGCACCAATGAAGTGTGATTACATAGGTCCTATTTTGGGAATAATCAAATTTCAAAACGACAGAAACAATAATTGACAAGACAAACAGCTGAAAACGCACTTACTAAACGGTGGTTGTAAGACTGAAACATTGTGGATTTTATACATGGTTCAAAGAAATTTCAGAAAAGTCTCAGGTGCTGGTTGGAAAAATTTGGATGCAACAAGTGGTGAAGGTTTTGCAAATCAACTTATAGCGCTGGTTTGTACGATCTTATCAAACTAAAGTGTGCAGTTGAAAATTTAGACAAAATATAAGAGATCAAAGTCTGGATAGAGGTGAGCAAAGATTCACAAATGGTTCTGTCCGGCACGATTGGCCTCAAAAGCTGACTAATTTAATAATGGATTTGGGACCAATATCTACCAGGTCACATCTACTATCAGTATGTGCTTTGTTATTTGCAAATAGTTGAGGCTGGGCACAATCATTGGCTTTGCCCAGATAGTAGAAATGATAAGATACAGTCGAAAATTTCTCGGGTCACCAACGCTGTCCTAAGCCTTGGTTGAAAGTAGGGAAATAAAACTTTGTTCTCATATTATAGTATCTGCGCATTTCAATTCGTAAGCTTTGAAATTAGAAGTCATAAAATGTTGCTTTTTACAACATAGCAACGAAAAACAGCATTGCACAAAATTTTTATTCTATAGTGATTTTACCTACAAACGCGAACTTGATATGGGACACTTGTACATAGCTGAAATTATTTTCTTTCTCTTCTGATGCTCGTCTTTATTCTATGACAGATCAGACGACGCCAAAAGCAACTCAGCCTGCAATTTCAAGGGAAAGAATTCCTTTTGCGATTTCAAGAAACGTCGAGGTATCTAGTTTTGCTTCAGAATATGAATCCATGAGGGCGAAAGATGAAGGTACACGGCCCCTTCTTACTGTAAATCCAGATTTTGCGGTGGTGTTAAGAAAGGCTTTGAAAATAATTTGAAGAGCATGTACATGTCGTTTGGGGCTGTTCCCAGTGACGGCAGTGTACTCTCAAACAGTAGTCTCACAATTTACTTCTTTAGAAAGTTCATCTTTTTTTACGGTATCGCCCGCACTAGCAGGTGTTTGTCACAAAAAAAAATAGAAAAAAGAACCATCCTCTGTCAGCGAAACATATATCAGTACACAACGATGCGACAGGGAATTTTCCCATGTTTGAAAATCAGTATAGTGAAACCACTATAACCATAACTGTTTTACAAATGTAAATGAGCTGAGTTTAATTAAACAATCCGCACTTCCTCGTTTTTGTTTTCACCGAACACAGCGTGAGAAATTTAGTGGAAGCAGCGAATTCAGAATTTCTTATTGTATGTTGATACTAGTATATAAATGGGTCGCCGAGTACCAGCACATCAGTTCCTCTTCTTTTCTCTTACAAGATGAGAGCAGAGGAGAACTATTACTCCGACAAGTTCTTAAAGATCTCATTGTCAGAATTTTGTAGAGTTGTGGAAGTTTTAAAAATATATTTTTTTAATATGTTCTACAACCTCTATATTCTGTTTACAGAAACTTACAAACACAAGGAAAGCGGCTACAATGCTCTTTGCGTTATTGGTAATTATTATGAAATCCAAAATTGTAGGTGAAAAATTTATTTTAGATTTGCTTGATTGCAATTCAAGGAGCGAATGCAGGTGATTACACTTAAGAATTATCAGATCACGTTTTTTTGGAAAAATTAAGTCCCTATCTTATTTTCTTCGCTTTAGCCACGTGCAAACTTCCCGCTGCACTAATCGAAGCAACTACGACGGCTCATAATGACCTCAGAGCACAAGTCGCCAAACGTGCTTTGGATAAGGAGATTTACGGAGATCTCCCAGGAACAAAGAGCCTTTTCAAACTGGTATGTCAAGTTTATCAATGTTTATGACAAATGCTAGTCAAATTAGGACCAAATAAGTGAAAAACCGCTCACCTCCCTTTTATTTTTGATTGCAGCCTAGGTAGCTGTGGAACCTGGCAGACACACCCTTGTGCAGACTTTTCTGACTTTATAAGAGTTTATAGGAGTATGATTGTACTAATGAAGGATTTGCACAGTCAACCATTGGAAAAGATTGCAAACATTCATCGATCTATATGAGCGTGATAGGAAGAGGAGAAAACTTTATAACGTAAGCATGCATTGGCCCACTTGTAATTATTGGTCAAGAAAAACATCAAGGTTTTACGAAACACTTAGTACTTTTCAGGTACAGAGCAGAAAGTAAGCCTGGTAACAAAAAGCTTGCTGAGATGCTCAAGTGGGCCGTCGAAGACTGGAGTGACACTGTCGAAAGTCCTTTGAGCTCGGACATCATGTACACAGATACGTCTATAGAACCTTTTGCTAATGTAGGTCTCTATAATTATTTTGCTACTGGACCAAACTCACTTGAAGGAAGGACATTTTGATCTTTATGAGAAGCTTACCTTTCAGATGATCTATAACAAGACGATGAAGTTCGGGTGCTCCTACCAATTCTGTGAGACCAACGGCAAAGTTGCTATCGCTTGTGTATACGAGAAAAAGTAAGCCGACAAACGTAGCCTTACCTAACACTTGCTCAAAATTGGCAAGCAACCACGTTTACTAGCAGCAGAAAGGATTTGTGTAATTTCATGATCTGGCTAACACTAATGCCTTTATTTGTATACGCAGTTCCCAGCCACTTCTGTTAAAGGCATCGAGCGTTGCATTAAGCAGATATCTAATTTTCTAGACCTTACATTAGACTTCCTTAGTCATTCTGTTAGTAAAATCTATTATCTATATTAACCAACACACCTGTTTGTCTTTATCTACACAAGCTTTTCTAGGCCGCAGCTGAATGAGCCACTGTATTCGGCAGACTCGACGGGCAAGAAAGGATGTACTAAGAATAGTCCGTGTAACAAAGTCATCAAAGGCGCTGTTTGTGAAACAGCTGATGACACCGTTGGACCTCTTTGCCAGAGAGAACCTTCCAGTAAGAGTTTTAGCATACAGTTCGAAAACTTCATATTGCACAAATGTTTACACTTTCCATTCAGCCACAACAACCGCTCCAACAACAACAACGGAACAACCAAGTAAGTACAGAGTAATGAGCTTTGGGTACTGATATATTCTATCGATCTAGTAATTTTTTTGCTCCTCGCATTGGAGGCTAAGTTGGCAGATGAATATAGGAGAGGGGTCTGATATTATTAATTTCGCTTTCTGTTTGAGGAGCTCAGACTCACACTGGGCTAAGCCTCATTATACATCTAACATCCTATAGAGAGAAATAGTTTTGGCTAAGTCCATTCACAGGGTCAAACATGGCTGTCAGACAGAAGTTTCGCTAGCCTTATAACAAAGCACCGTAGTCGTTTCTGCCTCTTGTACCAAGTAACGGCAGTGCTGCTGCTAGGTCATTCATAATGTATTTGATTCCAGTTATTATTTGGACTTGGACACCATACTACTGAGGCCCTTACTGAAGCAGCAATAGTGAGCCAGATTTATTTTTTAATCAATTCTTGAAGAATCTAGAATCATACAATATCAAACTCTATTTTCAGAGTCATCAAAGAAAATCCATAGTCGTTCCTGCCCGCATCATATCTATTTTGAAATATGAATGTATTCTCTGATAAAAATTTGAAGCAACTTGTTGCATTGGTGATTCATACAACATGCCGCGTCTTTGTCTGAGTCCAAGCAAACAACTGGACCAATCATTATTTTTTGACTGATATTGGGAGCGTTCAGATTTTGGTTTTAGCTACCAACTTTAACCCTTTCAGTTCCTTGCTTACCAAGCGTTACAGTGGTGCGCTTAGGCGTTAGATAGTGCGCCTTCACCTGAGGGAAGTATTTGGGTGAATTTGAGTAACAAATATCTACAAAACGGCAATCTCTTCGTACACTTTTCAAAATCTCGGCACGTATCAGCGCATCTTGAGGAGCCTACGCTATAGCCTGCAGGGTATTGTCATAATCTTCGGTAACTGGAGACAAAACTGTACGAGCGGAAAAGGAAAGCTGAGATCGCGTTTTCGGTCAGCACTTCTGATATATGGTGTCCTTTCACAACTCGCTTTTGCGTTTTTCAACACTCTTTCGCCTGCTTCGGAAATCTGCGCTTCTATATTCCCCTAAAAGCTGTTATTACTGACAAGGGAAGCCAACCTATATGCTGTTATATTGCCCTTCCAAAAAAGGCATATGCAACTCAAATTAGCTTAGTACGCTGATAACAATTGCGCTGTTCCAACTGCGAGCATTATTCTGAGCATTCACGACCTTTAATTGCTAAATGGCTTGGCTTATATTCAACATGGAAAGATTGCATGTAGAAAGAAGTTTACCCGAAAGTGCTGAAACAACATCAGAACGGTCTTTTGTCAAATGAGAAATTGACGCAATTTATTAGCACTTACTCAGATAATCGCCGGGGGCAGGCGGTCCGCAAACTCGCGCTTTTCTGCAAGCGGTCAGCAGAATTTTGGGGCGTGGCCAAACCTTCAGCGAGCGGTACTTCCTTTGCTGTCGCATGTTCTGCCAGCGGGCAGCAACACAGGATTTTCTGCAGGCACTCGGCAAATAATCTCTTTCGGCGAGCGCTGGTCAAATTTTCAGCTGGCGCTTGGACGGTTTATAAGCGGTTTCGGGCGTACGCCGAGCAAAGGTGAGACTCTACATAGCAGAGGTGTCATCGATGGTTTAATTACTCAAGTCTGAGGTACTTTCTCTCAGCGGAAAGTACCTGGGGGCTCCACAAAGGACCGTGCGGTCCTCGAAAATTTTGCATATTCCCGCGGACTTTCCGCGAGAATGCGGCCGCTGAGCCCCAGCTAATCTATAAGAAAACCGCGTTTGTCCTCCGAGCGTTCGTCCAAAATTTCGCTAAAATTCTTCCAAATATCTGCAAGCGGACCGCAGAAAATCAGCAAACTATTTTTCCGGTGCCCGCCCGCCCATAAATCGCATGGCCTCCTGCCCCCGGCGATTATCTGAGTAGATGATGCCGTGGCTAGTAAGCCGATGAGCATGCAAATTTCGCACACAAAAAATTCATTAACTCGCTTTAGAATAGTTCATTAGCTCAATAGCCGCAGCTAGGAACAGCATACTCAAAATCAGCTTTTCAAGCTGCTTCCAAATATAGTATGTCTCTTTTCGAGAGGCCTGTCTAAGTAAGCATCTTTCATTGCAAATTGGTGCGGGAGGGGCAATGAAAAACAATTTTTTATTGCCATTTACTGTATCGAGCTTCTCCTCCCCTGCTCCCTACTTCTTGCAGCAGATGAATTACATTCAGGCCCACCTCAAGATTCTATCTAGCAGTAGTCTTTAGAATCCGTACAAGTTCCTTGCAAGTGTAGTTGAGGGGCTCTCTCTGCAAAGGTACAAAAATTTTACTCTTTAACCACTCGTGATTTTATGGAAGCGTCTCTATGTGACCGTCACATGCGACTTCGTTCATCCTTGTGGCGCGAAAGAGATCTTCTCAACCTCTCGACTAAGTCATACTTTTGCTTGAAGATGTGATGTGCATCATTGCAGAACCTGGAACTACTGGAGCAATGCATCAATTTCGGCCAGTAAAAGTGAGTGTTTCCGAGTGAGCGTTTCATCAAGCGATTCCGGTGTCAATCGAGCAGGAACCCTTCATTTCCGAGACCAATATCACTGTACACGACGCAACAACTTCAAACAATCAGACAAAATCTGAGCTACGCTGGGAGTTAGTATAGCGAACTGAGCATGCTGGCCACGAATACAGTTTTCATCCACGAGATTGTCCATCGTATTCATTGATTTGATAGTTTGCAAACGAGCTGTATCTTAATTGGATCGGAGAGCATCTTGCAAATAAACACAGTGTTGGTGGAGATTTGCCTACGACAATTAGAGAGAGTACGGAGATTTTGCATAAAAATGCGACGAAATGGTTTTGTTTTCTTTGGTATGTCGTCAGAGACCAAGCGAAGTGAACATGCTAGATATTCATTTATGAGCGATTCACAACATATGATTAGCAACGGGGCGGGTAAAGTAGGTTACCTTCCATTGATTGGCTAAATTTGTTAATTAACTAGCTGGATTACCCGACTCCGCCCGGCCCTGTCAAAACACTATGATAAAACTCCCATTCCTATCCCTTCACAGCCTTTCCTGTGCCCACTTCTACAAACCAACTCCCTATTCCCGCTGTGATAGTTATCAACATGCTTACTTATCCCTGTGCGAATTCCCAGGCCCGTAGCTCAAAATTTACAAAAAATCGATAAAACTGATGGGTTATTCCAAAAACAATAGTATTCGTAATCAGCATGCTTGATTACCCCCCTGTGCCAGCTCCCAGCCGTAGCTCAAACTTCGCGAAAAAATCGATAAAATTGATAAAAGTAACGGACTATTACAACACTAATATTGCTTTCGTAATCAGCATGCTCGATTACCCCCTTGTGCCAACTCCCAGCCCCGGAGATGAACTCTGCATATAAATCGATAAAAACCGATAGAATCGATATCGATCGATGACGAAAAGTAGCCTTTGGCACCCGCCCCGCTCCGAAGTGTATGTGTGCCAAGTTTGGTCCGGACCGGTTTACAAAGGGAATTTTCTATTTGGAACATACGTCAGACAGACATACATACAGACATACAGACATGCAGACAGACATACAGACAAACAGACATTCAGCTTTATATATAAGATTTGACAAACTTTGACTAGGAAATGGGAATTGATAATAAACAGACTATGGGAGCAAGAAAGCGATACACAGAAGATAGAAGGACAGAAAAATGCGCTACAGGTGGGATGAAATTCTAACATTGTATGTAAAAAACGGAGACCGAGGGAACCTTGTATGTCAATAGATAATCTATACAGTTGATGAAAATACTAACACAATCATAATCAGCATCCACATACGCATTTACAGAGTGGTCTCGAAATGTTATCCAAAATGGCACAACTGTGCATCAAACTATTCAGTTTGCAAACTTTGAATTTTGGATAGATAAATCATTCTGGATGGGTCATCTTTCTTATGGAATGCCCGCCTCTCAATGCAAGCATTCGACTTTTCCACAAATTCTTTAAGAGTCGGCGAAAGACATCAAAGCAAGTAAGTCACCCTATTTTCAGGTGTATAAGCCGCACTTTTTCCCAATTTTCCCACGAGCTGCTCAACCGCTTCATTGTGTTTCGAAAAGCGAATCTTATGCCGCGCGATTCTTTAAAGCAATAAATAGCACGGTGTAGGGTCCTTTGGTTGCGAGGTCCTTATGTGTTCGGGCTGGTCGATGTAAGCTAGGACCACCCCGCGGCTTATACACCTTAAAGGCACCGTCCACCCAAAATGGGTTGGTGGGATTATGATACCCAGCAGCTGCGGAGTCCCCAGCTGTATGATTGCCCAACTCGCGCTGCCTAAAGTTGCTTGCGAAGCGAGAAAATTGCTTCGGAAATCGCTTCAGGTGACGTTTGCGACGTTGGCTCTTCCCCTTTCGGGTGGGCGTGACGTCCGTCCCGCGTATTTTCGACTTGATAATCGGGATCAGGGATATGAGAAGGCCTCGGAGTGGCAAAAACATGGGGGTCGATTTGGGTGGACGGTGCCTTTAAAATAGGGTACTAACGATCAAACAGTGTGCACATCTTTTAGGACACCCTGTATGTATTAGGTCGGCCCGAAGTTCGCGCTGTCCCTCAGACCCATGCTCAAACCACTTAGAATAAAAATAGACATTTAAAGAATGTTTAATACAGAATTTCTTCCTCTTTTTAACGGTTATGATTTTGTTCAGATTCTTTCGATGTCCGCTTGATTATTGGCAGGAATCTTCAACTCATGATTTTCACCCATCTAGAGTCTGGATATCTTATATATAATATAAAGCTGAATGTCTGTTTGTCTGTCTGTCTGTCTGCACGTCTGTATGTCTGTATGTCTGTCTGTCTGTACGTACGTATGTTCCGAATAGAAAATTCCATTTCTGAACCGATCCGGACCAGACTTGGCACATATACACTTCGGGGCGGGGCGGGTGTCATAGGCTACTTTTCGTCATCGATCGACATCGATTTTTA